GGCATTCCGCAGTCTAAAACGCACGAAACAGAAGTTTCAGGCAAGCGGGGTTCTGAGGTGTCAACAAATGCATTCAAGGTGCAATTGCTATGGGGAGGTGTCAATGTTTTCTATCGCTTTCTCTGACTAGTTTCGCGGGAAAAACAGAGCCCTTTCTAAGGGCATAACAGTCCATATATAGAGTTTTTTGGCGTTTTGCCGCTGTAAACAATTATTGAACTGTTCAGTAAGACGGCCGCCATCAACCACAGATCGAATAGCACCTTTTTGTGGGATATTTTCTTAATTATCAGTCGATTTTCTGCCACAAAAGGCCTGCAAATTTAGAGGTTTATACTAAATTTAACGTCTTTGCGTGGATTTATTGGAAAGGCGTGAAACGTAGAGGATATTACAAACACACATACAAGAATAATTCTGTGACATCGCGTCAATATTTCTTGAATATACGACTCGTGACAACATCATAAAATTCACTGACAAGGTAAATTACATTTTGCAACGTAAAATATTCCAATAGGTGTAAACTTTGACGCACTACCAAAGTATGGTAGAAAATGTTGAAAGCCATCATGTGGCCAAAGATCACGGTCAAAGAATATATTTTGCTCAATCTTTTTTCAAAAAATGTGATGTGACATGATAATGACCACACCCAGAAAAAGTCAAATTCCTGGAGTACTTTAAATTCTTGATGAAAAGAAAATTTTGTTCAGAAAGTACACAGTGTGGCTTTTCACTGATGGTAATTTGACAGAGGTGGAGCAAGTTTTTTTAATGCAAAGCATAAAATTTCAGGGAAAAATGCGAAAAATAGCCTCCAGGAATACCTTAATTTGAACACCGACTCATCTGAATATTGTACACATGCAGTGAAAACTAGAAAAGGAAATTACAATGTACACGGTCAAAAAAGGGGCTGAGACTTATTGCAAAAGAAATTAACTTAAAAGGAAAACGAAAAGTAAATACAGTAGGCTGAAACTTACGTCTGATCCTGTCTTAAAGGGATAAAGAAACTCCAACGTTACGTAACTCCAAAAAATGCCTTGAAAACTTCAACGTAACTCCGTCGATCTCCCAGCTCCAACTCCGGAAAAACTTAAAGGGCATTCTCTAATAAGGGTACCATTCATGTCTACAGTTGTAAACCAGTTAGAAACAGGAATGGCTAGCTACGTAAGTGATTCAAGCTGCGAACAATAGTACATGAAAACAGGGGCGTAAAAACTTGCTAATGAAACAAAACGGAACCATATTTTTTTAAATAAAAACAAAACTAACCTTAATTATGCAATCACGTTCCCTTTGATTGAATGTTCATTACACTCCCCATCAAGTTTATTCCTTGAAAAGAATGAATGTCTTTCAAAAGTTAAGTTCTTCCTCGGATTACCTTACCGCTCAAAGTTCTTCATTATTTTATTCACGTTATTCTCATGGCAATCACTGGCCCACTGAAAGGTATGGTAAACTTCCAAGGCCTCTAGTCCGGCCATGTGTAACAGTGTCATCGCTTGAACCTTTCCATCTTTTCTTGCCAAGCCTGATGTTACTCTGTAAACCTGAAGTTGGTGCATAAAACGCCGCCAGTTTTCCGCTAAATTTCTTGTGAGCACAAGGGCACTCAGAGGCTGTAACTTATCTATATTAATGCTTTTCTTCTGACACCATTTTAAAATATAAAGTGAACTCAGTCGTAAGATCAAGAAGGCAACTGCCCCTAGGCCCCCCAAATATCACAGGGCACCCAGACTATGCATAACATCACACACTCCATGTGGCTCAGACTGTTAAGGAGGTTTTAAGACATCACCCGCTAGACTTCAGTTTTAACAGAGCGACTGTCAGGAAAAATCGACCAAAATCGTAATTTTGGGGCAAGAGTTGAAAAATCAATTTCTTTCATTTTATGTTCATAGATAGCTTTTAGGTAGATGAGAAACCTAAAGTAGATTATTCCTGCCGACATCTTTTTATTTGTGAGAAAAATTAGAAGATCGGTTTTCGATGTTGGAGTCCCAGACTGCCCTAATTTTAAACCTGAAATTCGCTAACATTAACTTTCCCCCCTTCACAAACGAAGCTGCATGGAGATATTTGGACACTTTTCTTTAACAGAAAAATTATTTTTCTTCCACTAAAAGATACTTTCAGGGCAATAGCGAGTGTTACACAGGATATAAGCACTGTTTGAGAATATTCCACGTGTATTTTGCTCATATATTTCCTTAACTTTTACAACTCTTAAGTTCCTAACGTAGATTACTTTTCTTGGGGTCGACCTGAGTTGTTGGTATCCTCGCGATCGTTCCTTTCCACCAAACCACTTCCTTGTGGATGATATGGAGTAGTCCGAGAGTGCATTACTCCAGACAGTTCTTCAAGCCTCTTGAACAACCAGTTTTCAAACTCGCCTCCATGTCAGGGCGGATCCTCTAAGGGAATCCAAAGCGAGGAATAAAGTCATTGAAGATCTTGTCAGCAACCGTAATAGCGGTCTTATTCCTCGTCGGGTATGCTTGAGGAAATTTAGTGAAATAATCTACAACAACCAGTATGTATTCATAGCCTCTGAACTCCGCTCTAGGTGCACAAAGTCAATAGAAACCAATTGGAAAGGAGCCTCTGTGATGATAGGCTGTAATGGTTCCGTAGTTGGTAAATTAGGACGTCTCTGTTTCAGACAGCAACATGTGTGATGGATGAAGTTTTCTATGTCTCTTCTCATGTGTGGCCAATAAAATCTTTCTCGGGCTAGTGCTAGTACTCTCTCAACACTGAGGTGGCCCATTTCTTCATGAAGTTCACGGTAAACAGTGCGACGAAATTTCTGTGGAGGAACTACCTGCTGGTTGCGATAAAGTAATCCACTCTTCCTGTTTAGATGGAGTTTATACCACTCGTTTAGGAGCTTACGAGTCAAAGGTGGTTCCTTGTCCTTTTCTGCAACCCTCGGTTTGTGGTTTGTCTTGATGAGCTTAAGGACACGCCCAATGTGGGGATCTTCTTTCTGTGCTTTCACTAAATCTACCACCGTTACTTGATTGCAGGCTGCTTGTGACAAAAAGTCAACCTGATAGAGTTCCTCTTCTTCATCGGTCAGGGACGTGAGCCAAGTTGAGTCTCCATTCGACAATGTCTGAATTGCAGAGATTGAGGCATTCAAGCTTTCATGGGGTACTCTCTCAGTTCAACTGTCCATGTAAGTCTTAAAGTCACTGGGCAATCGGGAAAGGCTATCGGCTTCAACGCTTCAAGTCACAGCATTTGTTGCGTTGGGATCTATTTGATACCCATCTTGAGAGATAACTCTTCCCAGGAAGGACACTTCCCGTTTGAACAATGAACACTTTCTAGGCTTGAGCTTTACACCATAACTTTTCAACTGGCGAAAAACTTTATTAAGATGTTCAATGTGTTCAGAAAATTTCTCTGAGAATACGATCACATCGTCCAAGTTAGGGATGCACATCTCATCACGCAACTCTCCAAGACAGTTCTCCATAAATCTTTGAAAGTTCACTGGCACATTCATAAGACCAAAGGGTATCCACACCCATTCGTATAATCCCCAAGGTGTAACAAAGGCAGTAAGTGGCTAACTTTTCTTTGCAACAAAACCCTGATGATAGGCCTTTCCCTGATCCAAAACACTAAACCAGGGGCGCTTTCCATTTAGCCAAAATTTCCGGTTCAACCGGTTGAAATGCAAATGGAATGCGGGGTTCCAGAGGAAATTTTCCGGAACAGACGGACAACCTTCGGAGCTGCTCCACTTTTTTCGTTGCAACCAATCGGAACGGAAACATGCCGTTCCATTTGCACGACGGCGAGATTTTTCCCACCATTTGCAATGTCCTGTGAGCGGGCGCTCACTGACTTACCTGTAAAATTAGTGTTGTTCTAAAAATGGCAGAAAGGAGAGAAGGCGAAAAAACAGTGGGGTTGCAACAAGACGCCCAAAAAGATGACGATGGAGGTACATTTAGACATTTTTAATACTATTCCTAATTGCGGCTGTAACAAGCTACTTCAGTTTAAACATTTTGTATGTTTTTTCACAGGTCTATCACACTCGATGCTTGAACGATGGGAGGACTTTCACGTAAAACTTCTTGTCAGTTGTTGGCAAAAGCAGAGGCTTGAATTCGGAAAAGGGAAAGCTACCAAAAAGGACATATTCAACAGAATTGCCAATGAGTTCAATAGTATTTCTACTGACGTGAAGGTCATGGGGGAGCAGTGTAGTCGTAAGTGGCTCAAGCTTGAAGCTTCCCACAAGAAGATAACGGACCACAACAACACCACGGGAGCCGACAAGAAAACTTGGAAATACTTCCATGAAATGGAGTTTTGTATCGGGGGAAATCCAAATGTACGACCGAAGTTCACTTTGGAGAGCAGCAGCAGCACTGCAGACGTCCTTGCGGACGAAGACTCCGAGGAAAGTGGAGATGATGAAGACCAATGTTCCGCGGCCGAGAGCTCTAGTACAACAAAACGAAAAACCACTGGAAGTGGCTGTAAACGCCGGAAAAGGAAAAGAAAATCAAAATCTTCGGCTGCAGAGATGTTGACATTCCTGTCATCTTACGCAGAGCAACATGAGGAGAACGAAAGAGAAAAGATGGAGTTGATGAAGGAGGCGAAGGAGGAACGAAAGAGCTTTTTTAACCAGTTACTACAAATTATGAGTAAGCGTAAATGAGATGTGCCCAGCCAAGAGAGCATTGTTAACGTCTTTAAAGTTAACTGTGTGTCTTATGGTACAGATTTTATAGAAGACTGAATTGATGCTTTAAAAGTTTGAAACCATTAATGTTTTCGGAGATTTTCACGAATATTGGTGCTGGTGGTGTAATTTGCAAATAATCTTGTGTTAATTTATCACCTTTACATGGGTATACAAGTCCGCAATGAGGACAGTGGTATGAATAATTATAAGATATTTCTCATGTTTGATTTTTATTTTGTTTCAATGCTTCAAAATGTACATTTCAACTAATATTTCAAAAAAATCAGTTCTGTAGTTTCTGCTACAAACTAGGATACATTGTACTTTGTGACAAACTATGGTATGGAAACTTTGAAAGTAGTTAAACCTTAATGTCACATTAGAAGTAAAATTCTCTTTTAATACTGTATTGGTTCAATGTCTCTTGCATTTTGTCTTATTCACTTTTATAATATGACATGACCTGTACGTTTGATCATTGTAATGATACTGAACAGAAAATTCAGCTGCTGATCAGGGCTGTAAAATGTTTGCATCTCAAGGTGCTAAAGGATTTTCTGTCACGTTGGACATCACAAGTTCTCGAATTATTCTAAGGTACAGACATTGTGCAAATGCCATTAGTAAGGAAGTTTATAATATCAGCTCATAATATTTTATACATTTAGAAAATTCTGCACATTCTATTCTCATGTTTAGAACTTGTTGTAAAATGCAGCATTGATATTTACATAAAGCATTACACTCAATTAATTTCTAGAGCCACAATACTATGAGAGCTGATTACATGGCAAACTTCAGCCTGGGATGACATTTTGTTGCAATTACATGGCGAGTTTGTCCTGCTTTCAGCATCGACTTAATCTGACCCATTGCCACCATTGTTTTTTTTTTAATAGACCACTAATGTGCCTGCCCAAGCTCACGTTTCGATGCAATTAGATGAGGTTTTTCAGCCTTTCAGCCTAAGCTGAAATTTCTAGTTCGGTTTCAGCAACTGAGCTGGAAATTTCAACCCGGGTTGAAAACAAATACAGCCTGGACAAAATTTCTCTTAAAAGGTCTCAAATTTCAGCGTGCTTAGCCAGGGCCGGGTTGTTCAAAGGCCAATTAAGCTAATACAGGATTAGCGAGAATTTTGTTTCAATTTTGTAGCTTGTCAGCAAGGTGCTCTGTTTATATTTTTTGCCCTTCAGTTTTGAGCTTGAGTAATCTCAGACTACACAAAAAGTAAGTGGTGGATAACATTTGTACAGAAGAAAAATTGCTACACCGGTTAACTTTTAATCCTGGGTTAGCGTGAACTGGCTTTGAAACAACCTGGCCCAGGCAAAGATTCCAGCCCAGTCTTCTCAAGAAATCCTCTGAAAAGATGTGTGCTACTACATGAAGAAAATTTTAGTCCAGGCTGCTGAAAATATATGCAGTCCAAACTGAAATTCTTCTCATGTAATAATTTGCAAATGTCTCTTGGAGACTGGGCTGAAATTCACTAAGTACAAATATATTTTCCCTGAACTGAGTTTCAGGTTACAACAGATTTGTAATATGAGCTCTCTTCTGCTCTGCCTGCCTGCAAACTCTTCCTAAGGAGTGATCAACATCACTGTCATCATCATCGTCATCATCATTGCGAAGAAAGTACGCCTCATCAAAATCATCATTAATGAGACAAAAATTGTGTAAGACACAGGCTGCCATGATAAAAATGGTCATGTGCTTGACACTCAGCAGGTTAAGATACTGTAATTTGCGCCATCGCCCTTTTAGAAGCCCAATTGCACGTTCAATTACTTGGCGCTGGCTTGACAGAGCTTCATTAAATCTGATCTGTTGCCTTGTCAAGTGTCCATTATCTCTGTAGGGGACCATGAGCCATCTGAGTGAAATGAAAAAAAAAAAAGTAACAGATCTGCAGATGGTTGTTGACAAAGTGTAGAAACAAGGGAGTTGACATAACATTATTTATGTAGTAAACTTGCAGATATTAGATTCATTAAAAATTAATTCAACTTTTCTACATACATGTATGGTACTTTAACATCACTGATGAGCCTAAGATCAACTGAACTCTTGCCCTTTTATTACGGTGACTTAATTTAAACTGCAAAACAGTCTAACAAATAGTGACAAAATAAACCAAAGAAACCAATAAAACAATTAGAATGATGTTAATTGCCATCAAAACAAAATTGGTATTGATAGATGTAAAAAGTATAGCCACCAAGAATACCAGTCCCTTGCTCACTAATTTCAAGTACAATTCCTTCAGAGGTAAAAGGTTTTTGAATTTCCCACCCTCTCCCTCCACTCTAAAACAATGTTGAAAATTATACTGTCAAATGGCTTGAGGAGTAGAGATCAAAATGCAATCGGAGTTTGCCAAGTCATTTGATTACAATGAAGTTACAAAAAAAATTTTTTTCAGTACCTTGTTAATGGATATCAACCATCCCCAAGGAGGTGAGTGTCACCTGGGAACTTAGCATCTGAGTTTTGCCATAGTAGTGAGTTTCGTAAAATCCGTGAGTCATAAACAGAACCAAGCCATCCTGCTAGAACATCTCTGAACACCATTTGATTATCACAGACAACCTGTTGAAAAAAATGCTTTTACTGCTACATTTCTCTTTAATTAATCATGTATGTATACTACATAAACTGTAAGCTAAAAATCTCAAAACAACTGAGGAGTGCCCAGACTAAACTCGAGCTCAATCAATAAACAATTATTGGATGAGGTTGAGCGTGATATCATGAATTATCAAAACCGAGGTCTGACTGTTATCTGCCGAAGCCTGATAATTCATGATATCATGCGAAAACCAAATTCAGTAATTGTTTTATTATACATTTTTCACATAATTCATCCTCAGAAACAGAAGCAAAGCCTTCAGCCATTTTGTTTCTGAGGAGAACACTCCAAGGGGCTTAGTAACCAGGCAGACGTTGAACTTGACATGATAAATGCAATATCTGCTGCAGATATTGCATTTATCATGTCAAGTTCACAAGCTATTGTGAATTGATTGAATGCTCTTGACGAATCAGATTTTTCATAGTGAGTCTGATGTATAATAATAATAATTATCGGGGCAAGTATAGTGTACCACCATAAACAATTCAACAGAAAGTCTATTATTATCAATGGCTGCACTAGACCATGAACATTTCAGATAAGGTATGTTTAATCAAAATCATAAATAACTATAGCATTGTTATATCACATCCCACATTTTATATAAGATCAAATAACTGGTCATCAAGAGATAAATTTAGAATGCTTGGATCTTTAACCTGTCAGATATACTTGTCTTTAAGTCTGCATAATTTTAAGAGTTTATATGAGAGCATTTTTGAGAAAATATAGGGTGAAGTTTAAATCAATGAACATGGACATTCTAAAACATTTGGGAAACAATAATGTCACGTTTTTGCTGTATTTTAAAAACTTAAAACTTAGACTTAAATTATCTACTGATGACAAGGTATTCAAACTATTATAAGTGAACCGGACATAAGTTTACAGTATACAGTAAACTGTTGCAGGCACAGTTAAGGTAAAACAATGGCATTTACTCCTAGAATAACAAGCAAATACTTGTACCTGAACGTTCAAAGCATAAAATCTTTTTCTGCAGTTATATGCTTCTTTGTTTTCTGATGGACATCGTATATGAATTAGGGTTCCATCAATGGCACCATTGACTCCTGGAAATGTGTCACCAAAATCTGCCCTGACCTCATTGATCTCATGCCCTAGCATGATGTAAAAAATACACTTGAAATAAACATTTTTAATTTTTACTAGAGTAAAAAACATACCGAATTGACGGTATGTCCTTATATTAATTCTATATAAATATAGCCGATTCCAATATTCACAACGTTGTCTATTTATATACATATATATGTATGTGCAAAATTTCATAACACTCATGGTAGCAAGTTATTGTAGCACTCTCTAATCGAGACTAACATAAATGTATTGACCTATCGAAAGTCTTTCCTTTGCAACGAAAGTTTCGTTCGGGTATACCATGGTAAAAGGTTGTATACTTTACTCACCGTTTGGCCATCTTATATACTGGTTCTTAAGGCCAGAAACGGCTTCAGTAACTCGAACAACAGTCCGAGAAACACTGCTGTACGTGATGTCAAATCGGTCGGTGATTTCTCGCGTGCTCTCTTGGGTCGCCAGTGCCCCTAGGAAGACCAATACTTGTTTCTCTGGTGGGATTGATGGCCTTCCAAAAGGATTTCCTAAGGGTATTCTGCCAGTGTTTATCACTTCCCTTGTCAATAACTCTGCGGTGGTCCGAGTCATCCTAAAATGCACTGCGAACTCATCCCCGAAATAATTACTTACTGTAGACTCAAAATAATTCTGAATTCGTGTTAAGTTTCTACGAACGAAGCAGCAGGACACCCCTGCTATCGCCACAAAGTCAAAATCATTTTCATTCCTTAGAAACCTTTCAATTTCCTCGTCACAATTGACGAGAAAGTCGCAAATCAGAGGAACTGCAACATTGTCGTCCATTTTGTTTTGTTGCGCCTCATCAGCGATTAACCAATGAAATGTCAAGTGTAGGACTCAAAACGAGGCTCTATTCCTCGGATGTAAAAGGCCTTTCCATCTGAACTGGAAATTTTCCGGAATGACAAACCAGAAATTTTGGCTAAATGGAAAGCGCTCCAGGGCTTGCCCCCTACACTATCTAATGCTTCTTGGATCCGTGGAATGGGATGCCGATCAGGCACCGTCTTCTTATTTAATTCTCTGTAGTCTATGCATAACCTCATTGCACCATCTTTCTTGCGAACACAGACAACACTACTTGAGAATGGCGACTTGGACTTCCGGATAAAGCCTCGGTTGAGTAATTCCTCTATATAACCTTTAACTTCCGGGTAGAGTGTACGGGGTATGGAAATGTAATTCTTCTGGCTGATCACTAGTCAATCCAATGTCCATCTCTAGTTCGGGAACGCAGCCAACGTCATCATCACTGATTGCAATTGCATCTGCTTCTTCAACCAACAACTGCTTTGCCTGCTCCTTTTGTTCTGCCGTCAGTCCGCTCAAATCAACTTCAGGTAACCAAGACAAGTTGCTCTCAATTTGCTCGGCAGGTGCGTCTTGTTTACAGGGAGGTCTCTCACTTGGAGATGGTGTCTCCGGATCCTTAAACCTGACTTCAACAGGAGTCACTGATCGTACAAGCTGAACGTGCCCCAAAACAACTCTTCCAGGCAGGGTGATGTTGTGGTTAGTGTTGTTGGTCACTGTAACTGATAGAATGGTTGCATTGCCCTCCTTCACAGTGGTAAGGGATTCATGTACAGATAATCCTGAAGGCCAAGTAGCCAGCTCATCAGCTAAAAAAGGACAGGCGTCTTACGGTGGATTGGTCCAGTGTTAGCACGACATGATAGGTGAACAGTCTGCCCCGCAGGGAGGATCTGTGGCTTCTTTGAAGATTTAACTTGACAAAGTTCATCAGAATTAGAAGTACGGATAAGGCTGATCAATACTTGTGTGTCACTGCTTTTGTTCAGTTTGAAGCTTTTCGACATCCTGTTAAGCAGAACATCGTCATTTTCCTCTTCAGTGTTCCTGACCATTAGTTCTATAACATTACAACCAATGATAGGTTGGTCAATGATCTCCCTTGTTATTAAGAATGGAACTCTTACTTCTGTCTCCTTTTCATTTGCTAATCGTATACCAATCTCTGCTCACCCACAGTAAGGAATATCTGTTCCATTTGCTGCTTGCAAGTTTATGGATCCATCTGTGCAAAGTAACTGTTCAATATCCCTTATTTGGACTGCTGGTAGTTGGCTCTTCAGAAAGTCTGCTGAAACAATTGATACTTGGGCCCCTGGGTCCCATAAAGCCTCTGTAGGCTTCTTGTCTAGGTAGCACTTCACTGAACACTTCTTTCCCACCAGTTTGCCTATGCGCTCCTGTTGTCTGGGTGAAATGTGGCTAGCATACACACCACTATCTTGGGCATCTCCTAATCCCTTTTCTTTAAAAGATCCTCTCTCAGAGAGTTGCTTGATTGCTTTGCACAACACTTTGTGTTTTGGCCAATGGGCCTTCTGACAACCAACAGAACAATACCGAACAGACTGGCACCCTGAACACTGTAATAATTGTGTGTGACAATCAAACTTCAGGCAACCACTACACTGGTGGGACTTCTCTTTTTCTGGCGAGGCTACTCCCTGTCCCGCGGGGTAGCCTGGGTGCATTTCCCGGATAATTTCTGGACCTTGACTGACAGTAGCGTGCAATATGGTACAAGCCACCACAGAGGTAGCAATGTGGGCATCGGTCACCCTCCCTCTTCCTCCTACACTCTTGGCAACCAAGTGGTCTTGCTCCAGTTCTCACTCCATTTTCAGCATGACTAGGCATCATAGGGTCTGCTTTCTGGTTACTTGCTGCTTCACGCAGGTTTTTAACTTGTGCCTTCATTGTAGCCAACTCTGCTTGCACAGCTTTTAGTGTAGCTAAAACCTGCTGGTCCTTCTGTAGCTCTTTCTTTGTATTTGATTCAGCTGCACTTTCGATAGCGGACACCTTCACAGATTTCCCCTTGCTGGCAAGATTGAACTTATTACTTTGCTCTGTTTCTGCAGATATGGCTAGGCTCATAGCTCCAATGAGGTCTTCATCTGTGACCTTTGGGTTCTGAGTGAGTGGCCTTATTTTTCCACGAATGATTTCGTCAGCAAGACCTGTTTCCACGGCATGCAGGAATAAACTTTGTACTGAAGAGGCGTCATACTTAATCCCACTATCCGACTCTTTTGAAGCACTAATAATCTTCTGTCTAACGGTTAGTGCTCTCATCAAAAATAACTGAGGATCTTCATTAGGCTGCTGGGCAATGTTTGATAAAAGCTGATAAAGTTCTGTGGCATTTTTTTCATGAAAATGGAAGCGAAGAAATTTATGCAACCTTGGTAGGGTGAGGTCAACCATGGTCTCTAAATAACTTCTTAGTTGTAGACCTGGCTGTACAGCACGAACTACGGCACTAACTTCTTCTTTATCGGAGTATCCCTTGGTAAACCCTGCTTCTATTTGTGATATTAGGGCTTGGTAACCCAGGTTTTCTTTCCGACCAGGGTCGCCTACCACTCCCTGTATTTTAAAATCTCTACGGAATATGCTCTGCTCAAGCTCCTTTACAGGAAACTTGATTGTCTCTTCTTCCTTTACTGTGCCAATCAGCTTTTCTTTCTGCATTTTGGCCAGTTTCTCCTCCACTAATTGCTGCTTAGTTTCTAAATCACCTAGTTCTTGTTTGAGCTTCTTTAGGTCGCTTTTGTTTTGTAATCCTTCTTGCCCATACTTATCTTCCGTTCCCTCGAGTGGCAGAGGGGCCAAGTGTGCCATTAACCCGTCAACATAATCAATTTGGTCATCGCTGGTCAGCACATCAACTGAATCCTCAATTTTGCGCCTGATGGACCGAATAACACTTAATTTCCCCTTGCCCTCTACTACCAAGTTTTCCACTTTAACATGCAAAGCAAATTCACTTATAGCGCTCAAGTCCATCGACAACATTTTCTTGTCTAAAAGAATTAGGCTTTCCTCCGCCATCTTGCTTCTAACACGATCACAAAACCCACATAGCATCCAACAAAACAACATTCATGCCTTTCCTGGCCTCAAAGCTGTGTTCCAGTATCTCTTGACTAGCTGTTCCCACCAAATGTCCGCCTAAGCTACAAACCACTGATTCCTGCTTGCCAAATCAAGACCAAAATGAATATCCTGGACGGCGATCCACACAAATAGCACACAACGTTCCTCGACCATTGAAACTTGTACTGCATCTAATTCCTTCGATGAATACTCCCGCACAGGCCCCCAGAATGTTACACAGGATATAAACACTGCTTGAGAATATTCCACGTGTATTTTGCTCATATATTTCCTTAACTTTTACAACTCTCGAGTTCGTAACGCCGATTACTTTTCTTGCTTTTCTTGCACATGGTTTTTCTCTTACGTCATCAAAACGACATACATGGTTTCCAGTCCTTAGGCGCACGGACGCCTGGCACTAAATACAAGTGCTTTTGACAATGAAATTTCTATGCCTAACACGAGCTCGTCCTACTGAAATGACTCAAAAATGAGGGATAGGTTTTAGGGATAACAAAAACTTAAGTTCGTTACTCATTTTCGACCGCAATATTTAACATGTGGTGTAACTCCAAATTCTCTTAATGCTATTTAAATCACACATCTAGACATTCATTTAAAACATACCTGGGAATTCGCTTGGGTTATTGAATGTAATCTCTGTAAGACACCATCGAAGTTCAGGAATTTTCATGGAAGGCCGGCTGTAATTGTGTAAACACTTCCAATTCCGAAACGCACAAAAGAAGATATTTACAGCCTAAAGGCTCGTTTTTTGTACTTCTTGTAGGTTTCCCCATTGCAAAATTCCTTTTTCCAGTCAAAGAGTGGGGTAAAAAGGTGAAACTGGGTCAGTTTTAGCCATTTTGAAACACTGAACTCGACCAGACGGCCACTCTCCATGACAATCTGTTGTGACTGCACGTGACATAATGTACCTTTGAAGAGATGGAGCCGTCAAAATGACAGTAACGGAATCACGGTAGTAATGCAACGCAATTCTTGAAAGAGTAACATTTTCGATCCCGACAGTTTTTTGAAGAAGAAATAGTCAAACACGCTCTGTCTGGTACTCACTTTTTATTGAAAAATATGGACTTTAACAATGGTAGTTCATTAAGGATGACGGAACAGGGAGATATTTCGTCTTGTTACTTTGTGATCAAGGAAACTTGGAGCCGTTAAATAAGTTATTTTGGTCACGCTTCAATATTTTTACTGGACTTCAATGTTTTGTTTGGAGGCTGCCTAAAGGAACCCAAGCCAATTCTCAGGCATGCTTTAGATGAATGTCTAAATGTGTGAGTAAACGAGGACCGGGAAAATTTGGAGCTATACCACATGAAGAAAAGTGCCACAGAAAACAACTTCTAAAGTAAAGTTTTTGTCACAATTAACCCCTGTTCTTCATTTTTGAATTATGTTAGTTCAACGAGTGTTGATATTGCTTTGAAAGTATCTTCTAGTGAAGGATGAAGAGTTGTTCTATTGTTGGAAAGTGTCCAAATTTCTCCTTGCGGCTTTATTTGCGAACGCAAGGAGAGTTGATGTTAGTAAATTTTCGGCCATTTTGAGACTCCGGCCACGAAAACTGATATTCTTACGTTTCTCGAAAATAAAAGGCTTTTTGCGAGAAGAACTTACATCAGCTTACTTATCTACCTAAAAGCTATATATAGACAAAAAATGAACGAAATCGATTTTTCAACTCTTCCCACTCGCTGGTCGATATTTCCTGACCATCACTCTTAACAATTATTGGACAAGGTTGGGCAAAGTACCTTAATTTGTCAGTGGCGAGCAAATCAATTATTCGGCTGAGGCAAATAATTGATCTGCGAGACACTGACAAATCACAATATTTTGTGATGAACGAGTTCAATGATTGGTTTATAATTCGATGGCAGAGTTGTTTTCTTCAATTAATATCTTCAGGAAGTGAAGCACTCTGCCATTTTCATGCAAGAGCGATCGCAAGAAGGACAAAAGCGTGATCTCATTACGCATGAGCAGACCATTATTTGTAGGCAGTTATTTCCAGTTCACGTGGTGGGCTCTCAGCTAATGAAATGGAAGAAGAATTTGCAGCAAAAGATAACGTTTGAGTTCCCAGACAAAAAAAAAACGCCAGGAACAAACCGTTAGAGCATTTGGTTGGGAACAAATGTGACCTCTCATGCGAAAACGTACACTAACGGCTTTCTGTTTAACGGGTGAAACGCACGGCTTCCGAACGGGTTGCAAACAGCTCATTCACCCCTTCAAACGTGTTCATCTAATGGCTGAACGGGTTGTTAAGTTTTTCGAACGGCTAGCACGAACGAGCGAACAGCTCACTCACCCATTTGAACGGGTTATTAAGTTTTTCACACGGCTAACACGAACGGGCGAACGGCTTACTTACCCGTTCGAACGGCTCATCAAAATTTCCAAACGGGTTCCCCAAACGACTGAACAGCTTACACTGAAAATTATCTTGCAACGACCGCACTTTACAACAGGCTGTCCAGTTTCTTCTGGAATAAAACTTCTATTTGGATCGTATCCATAATAACTACTATTTGCAAAGACGCATCTCCATTTTGGGACTGTAATTTTTTCAAAACCACTCTACTCTGATAGAAAGTTTTTTTAAAACAAGATCCATAGCGCTTTCTATACGTAAAAACTTTATGCAAACTTGAAATTTGCACTAGCTCAACGCGGGATTTAGAATGATTTACTTTAACTCTGATGATGCTGTCATATAAGTACAAACTTATTTATTGCTATTGAGTAACTCATCCTGCTGATTATACTTAATTACATGTGGGTACGTGGGGTTTTTCCAAATTAAAACCACCCCTTGATTGTAATAATTATTCTTACATGCGGGGGCGTGTGGGTTGTCCAGGTGATGCCCGCCCCTTGAACAAAAAAATTAGTTACAAAATACTGACAGCAACTTAACCTACTGATATGCAATTCGAGTATACTTGTCTAAAACGAGTATGTTAACAAGGTTTACGTGATACTGGTATCCGTTTTATCGATTTAAAATCAAACAATATATGAACTAAACCTACAGACAAGGTTATCCCAATTTGATTCGAGAAACTAAAAAAACTTGCTTAAATAACAGTACTCATGATTTTGCTTATCTTTACCTTAAAAAGTCTTAAACGTTCACGGCACTGGGGCAACCAGATGTTCGTTTCCTGGTTTACAAAACTGACGAATTTCGCGAAAGAGATACTGCTTTCGTTCTTGAGATAATCCTTGGGGTTGGAGCTTAGGTGGTAACGCTGCAGGCGGCAGAACAGCAGGGTTCTTCAGCAGTGTAAAAAATTGTTCAGGAGAAGTGCTGGACTCTTTGAAATAAAGTTTACTGGTTTCCTCTCTCGAAAATCTAAAATGATAGTACTTTTTTATGTTGGGAAACTTGATGAAGTAATGTTCCAAGAACGCCAACCAATTGTATACTGGCACAATGACTTTTCCATCTTGTGTCCCGACGAGTTGGGGCCTTGTTCACTCCGTCTGCGCTTGAGGACTTGACCATTCGGGCAAATTCGTACAGCAATGAAACATGGCTAACCTTGTATGATCTTTTAGTGATTCCAAAACAATGATCGGGTCCGAACTTTGTATGACCAGCGATAAGAAATGAATTACGAATTGATTCATGAAGGTTATTTATGGCTGTCCATGCTAGGTACCAAAGGAAGCAGTTGTTTTTATTCTGTCCCGTGCAGTTGTCAGCATGGAGATGAACATGACTTTCGTCGAGACCGTGGTTTTGAAAATAGTGATGGATGTAGCTAACTGTCGAGTTGGCTCCTTTTCCAACCTCACTCGCCTCGTCAATGAGATGGTTCACTTGCCGGGGGACTGCCTCACACATTACTCTGAAGATTCCACATTTACGTGGGTTTTTTAAAGTATATGGGTCCTGGCGGCATTGGGTTACTCGGGATATCAATCTGCTGGGCATAGTTAAGTGAATAATGGCTGGTTGTGTTCACTGAGCAGGGTTCATGTGCTTCATCCAACTCGATTTCCTCTTTAACTCTCAAAATTTCTTTTTGACTCCGTGCAAATGTTCCTGTACAAATCCCTTACAGTTCCCATGCAATTTAAATGGTGTTGCTGTGCTAAGGCGCACTAAGATTTTGCTCTGTCCGAAAGATTTGCAGACCGCACAAGTTTCAATGTGTTTTGTTGGCAAGTTAGACACAATTCGGTTATTGGCTTGGCGATAACAACATCAGGGTGAAACTGTTCCCATAACTTTGTAAATGTTGTGTAACAAACCGCCTGTTTTCCTGTTTCTTTGCATGCTCTTTTAAACGCGCGCTATACATTCATCTTTGTCTCGGACGACAAAAGCAGGCGAATGTCATCCTTTTTAAAGCCAGGGATTCGGCCAGGTAGTAAAACGGCATTTTCCTTGACGTAGTTTGTTAAATAATTTCTGACGTCTGTGCCCACGGCTTGGGGTAAGGTGTTGTGTGGTAGCTTTTTGCAGTTTCCATGAACTCTTTGAGCATGACCATGTTTTTCATGGTGTTCTTTTAATCTGCGAAACCGTGAGTAACTGATGCCGTAAAGATGTAAAAACATGTCCTTGCAGATGGGACACTTAACGTACAGGAAACTGTATTGTGAACTCCGCTTCCTTTTTCCACCAGTGATCTTGATTTTCGTGCATACTTGAATGTTTGCCAGTACAACAAGATCGAGTTCTCCATGCGAGAATTCAAGGCAGTTGTTTAAATTAGACAGCACAGCTTCCTTCGAGAATTGCTGACAACACTGGCTACCTTTCATACCATGATAGCAACCAAATCCCTCTTGTAAGAATTTGTCCACTTTAGCTATGATTTCGTCGTTTTTGAACCTGTCAAGTAAATCGCTATCTGCCATGGTGAAGGTTTCATAAGAAATGTTACATATCAAAGTAAGCGTCACAGAGGTATCCATGACAACGCGCTCTTCTTGACACAGATTGGAAGTTGCATGATGTTGCGTTACCTGTCACACAGTTGTCTGCGTTATGCAAAATTAGACAAATACAGCCAGAAAGATAACAGTGACCGAAATAGCCTGCGTAGCAGGTGCTTGAAAGTAATGGGCAAAAGAAAGAACAGTGAAGGAACAATAACCTGTGAACCGCAGACAAAAAATAGTCCACGCTGGGCTAGCAGGAGGTCAAATCGCGCCACTACAAAACTGCTCTTTCAGTTTTTATCCCTTTGAGCTGAAACTTAGCAGGATTGTAGAACATGAAATTTTCTAGGTACCCATGGTTTTAGAATTTTGAATTTCAAAGTTTTTTGGCGGGAAAATGACGTCACAAGATTGACATCAATTATTAAATTGTAAGTGATAGTGCCACAAATACGTAGATTAGAAAGACCGTAATGAGATAGAAGGTAATGTGAAAAAAGTTTTTGAAAAGCTTAATTGGTTGCAGTGTTATTAAGCTTTAAATTTTGAATTCCCCGCCATTTTGTTACTATTTTTAGAAACAAAGCCAAACTTTAAAATGCTATATCTCATCAACCAATTGAGCTTTTGCATAAATTTTTTCACTTTTCGTTTTGTCCTGTTAAGGTATTTCAAAAAAAGGAATTTTAGGCACTATCAGTTAAAATTTAATCGTTTTGTTTATCTTGTGACGTAATTTTCCCGCCAAGAAACGTTAAAGTGCAAAATTCTGAAACCATGGGCACCTAGAAAATTTCATGTTCTACGATCCTGCTAAGTTTCAGCTGAAACAGATAAAAACTGAAAGAGCAGTTTAGTAGTGGCGCGATTTGACCTCTTGCCAGCCCGGGGTGTCGCTCAAATAAAAAACATAAGCAAAGATGGTTAAATATAGGTTCAGTCACATTTTTATGCTATCCTATCGTCATGGCGGAGACGTCATTTGTAATTATAAGTAAACTCATTCAGCTGTTTGCATTAGCGCGTTCGAAAAATGTCCTAAGCCATTTATGACCCGTTCACTCATTTTGCCGTTTGGAATTCTAATCACGCGTTCAGCCATTTGATTCCCCGTTCCCTTTCTAGAGAATTTTAGCTAAAGAAGTGAAATTAATTGAAGACGGATGTGCTTTGCTCTTATGGCACGAAAGTTATCCTGTGTTCCAGAGGATATTTTTTTCTTATCGATAGTGAAGGTATTTTGAGAACAGACCTCTGGAGCCACGGTACACGAAAGTTGGTAACTGCCTCTAACTCTCCACAAAAAAATTATCACCCAAAACAATGATATTTTAAGTCCTGCTTGCGCAAAGCTACTAAGATCTGACGTTCTTATTATTACGCCATTTAAGCTATTTCCTTCCACGGTTCATTCGTGACCACGTGCAAAAAGACCGTCGAAGTGTTAAGCTGATGAATCAATATTATGAAATCGCAGGGAAACTCTATTGAATTGACTTTACATTGATTAACGGGTTTGTAATTGATAAATTACAAACCTGGTTCCAGAGGTTCCTTAAAAAAGCTCCAAACAAACTGGTTCTTGTGACATGGTCATATGGAAAATTCACAAAAAAACCATGATGAAAACTCTGGCACCGCAGTTGTATTTTACCTTAGTTTCTTTCAATATTTAAGTTATAAACTCAGTTATAGCAAACAACTTTATTAATTATAAGATAGTGAGACATTATTTTATATAGAAAAATTTCAAAACTTAACTTATGCTTTGAAAAAGTTGCCGAAATTACAATTAAAAATATACGAAAATTTTACTAAGATGAACGAGTTTTAGGAGCAGAAAACTTACAGATAGATCGGCACTTAGAATTTATGTTACTTTTAATTAACCTCCAGAGTTTCTCTTTTTCCTCGTTGTTGCCTACTAGAAATTTCGTAAAAACTAATACTTTAAGAGAACTGAGTTTGGCGCTGTCCAGACACTTCTTGCCATAGGTGCCGTTGGTATTGCTGGTTGCGTGTTCCTCAGTGGAGAAGAAGGACTGCAGAAGCTTTAATGCACACAAGTGCGGTTCATTCTCACTTCCCAGGGTCTGCTGGACTGTTCTCACTTTTGTAGGGGTCACACATGTACCAATCAGCTCCTCGCCAACATCAAGAACACAACTTGCTACTGCTTGCTCGACTGGGGAATCAGCTCCAGGTTGTTCTGTGCACAGACTGCTTAAGACGTCTTGATTAATGGTGCGCAGGTCATCTCCAGACGGTTCTATTGGTATGTCTATCATTGGTCACAACTCTGGCAACTCATCACTTTGGTTACTAACTGCATCGAGCTGAAAATGAGGAGAAACAAAAAAGCCAACATTATTAATACTGATTATCTTGGTGTTAAGTCTTTTCTTATCTTTGGTGTCTATTTTCTTTTGGAGTTTTCTTCGGGCGCACGAAAGCACCATGTTGAAACTCGAAAAGAGAGGAGAAAATGGGGCGTTACTATTTTTACTCTCCCAAATCTTCCTTTGTAATAACATCAAAGATGGCGGTTTCAACAGTACGAATATAAATAAGCAGCTTTCGCCCACCCAAAATACGCCTGCACTGCAGGCTACAATGACAAGAATTGCTTACTATGGAATAATTATTGAGGGATTGTCCATCTAGGAAACCATGGCGTGCCTTGAAGTCTGACAGGTTGTCTTCCAATACAGACATCTTCCTCAGTAGTTTATCTTCTGTTTCGGAAACGGACGTTTGTATTTTCTCCGTCATCTGTAAAGTAAAACAGAAATAAACGTCAACTGAAACGTGTCAAGGCTAAATCTTCATTGATCATTTCCTCTTATTCTACTTATAGAAACTAGTTTATAGTTTAATCTTGAGCACGAAGTCCAAGTTCTTGAAGCTGTTTGTCTTTTGCAAATTGTTACCTCTAATGTCCGCTACTTAAATAAGTACCTATATAAAATTTTAAAATTGTCTTCAGTGTCAAGATTAGTCTTAAGCTTATGTTGAAGAATGCTGAAACTTTTAGTTATCTTTGTTGTCAGAGACAGTCATTTGCAAGCGTAGTTGTAGTAAATGTATGACGCTATCCCACATACCAAGAATAATTATTATTACCTATTTAATTTTGAAACTGCTATCAGAGTCAAGGTTATTTGAGTGTTGAAGAACACTTCTTATGGAAATGGGTTGGTAGTTACCTTTAAGATGTTTTCTTGCATTTGCATCTGGCAGGACAGAATTTTAGTTGTCGTCTCTTCCAAAGCATCAAGCCTTTTTACCAGGCGATAACACTCTTCTGTCTTAGAAGTAAGCTGCTGGTGGCAACATCGTCTTTCAGCGAAGAATTTTCAGTACTGCTAGTCAGGTCACTGCTGGTTGTGGACAAAGGTGCTGAGGACCTTGCTGTCTTGGCCCTCGTGGAATCTCATGCTACTTTCCACTCCAGCTCCCGCCGCTTCTGACTGGCTAAAAACTTCTCGTACGGATGGTCACTGTCACTGACTTCAGTCTCGGCACTCTGTTCAGCAGGCTAGGTCAGAGAAAAACAGATCTGATCAGATTTATTGAACAACGTACAAAGCCGGATTAAAATGTTATTCGTAATTAAAACGGCATTTCCCACAGACCTTTGCAATAAACCTATGTTTAACGGGAATTAGGTTGGAATTCCCTAGTGGACTCGGGATTAAGCAAGGCAAGAAAGAAACCTTTACTCGCAGGGTACGCAATGCGTGAAAATTTAAACAACAACAACGACACCTGAACTCTAGACGAAAAACCTTCTAAAGAAATTGGCCATGCGGCCCGCAGAGAAAATAGTTCAAGATGAGAAGGTATTTTAGGAATTAACAAAAAAACTGTAAAGATGTCGCAATGTAATCTAATTACCTTCTCTCGTGCAACTTTTTTTCGTGGTGGCTCCAAACCTTCCCGGATTTCTACTTGCAGAGCTGAGGGAAAATTTTCCTTACACCACTCTAGGTCTTTCTCAGCCAGAACGTTTTTATTATCTATAATTGTGTTAAATCAAAAACAAAACTTTGTGTTAAAAGATGACTGATAAGGCTTGAAAGAGGAAAAACAATTAAAAAGACCTACAAAGCACAATTACCACTTACCGCTTAAAGCAAGGATCTGTGCCTGAACCTTCTGGCCATCCCAATTAACGTGGACAGACTGTCCTTGGATGAAATCGAGGTCTTTCTCCACAATTAAGCGAGTTTGCGTGATGCCGGTTTTTTTTCTTGCGGGAAAAGCAATAGTGCTTTTGGAGCAGTATGTTTACTTGTTTGCCTACACAGTTGTCTAAGAGACATGCGGCGACTTTTGAAAGAGCAAGATCAACAAAACAAACTAACAAGTGTTTCAAATGGAGCACGGAGTGATCTCTATAAACTGACTAAGTGGTTACCTCTTTTATACGCGACACTGAAAGTCGCAAGGATTGAAAATCCAATATTTTCATTGGGTCAATGAAGTTTAATTGTCTGGCAATCAATTAAACCGTTTACATGTAGACAGGTCACAAATCATGAATTATAATATCAATAGACTCTACTATCACCTAACTTTCCATTTTTTCTAGCGGTACTTTTCACTGCACGTGGTCACAAGTCGTAAATTATAATATCAGTTTTTGTAAGCTCCTCCTACATCAGTAATCCAAAAGCAAGAATTGGACCTTTCCTTTGTACTGGTGCCCTTGGTGAGCGCGTATGTTTATGTAGATAATACTAATTTGTCTAATGACAAATAAAAAATAATACCTTGAAAGAAAGCACCTATACTCACACTCAAAGTAACGCGCGTCACACGATAAATTGTTGCGTCAATAAATGGCATCTGTTGATTTTCTGTCAGTTTCATCGTTAAGAGCACATGGGAACATGCAGAGAGCAAAACTATTGGAAGCTTCGTTCGGAATGCATTGTTTACATACGGCTTCGATTCATCTCCTGACAGCCTGCGTAGCAAGCATTTCCAATCGAATTGACTGTCTCAACGAACTCGCGCGGAAACCCCTGCTACGCAGGCTAGTCGTCTGGAGATTGATTGCTGAATTGTCTGAGCTGTCCAAGTGTACTTTAATACTTTTATTTTAATAATCGATCCAAATTTCGTTTCCATTCAAACTGGAGTTGTTTCGATCCATCAACAAAGTCGACTCGATCCCTGAGAAAGTTGATTCGATCCATCCTAAGTCATCTGAAAACAAACAAGAAACGAATAACTTTGTCTTCTTCTAAATTCAACCAACCACGGGCTTAAACATTAAAACCGCCGCTTTGAGAGCTTTTAAGAGTTGAGCTAGCTGGTGTAATACCTACGAGGAATCGATGGATTGATATCAAAAGATTCATCTTTTTACAGTAACAGAGTTAAATTTGAGATAGGGAGTATAAATTATAGATATTGCTCGTGGTTTGTAGATAAAAACGAACTTAAAACTATGAATTAACATAGCCAGCGAATTTGGCATGTAAGCGAACGCGAATGTAGCGCCAGAACTCGACAAGTAGCGCCAGAAACCGACGTAAATCGTGACAAACAAAATCCAAGTTAAAGCAATATTTTAATTGCCAATCGTTTTTTTCACTTTTTAATTATGCACAAATTGTGCATTTATGACAAACAAAGCATGTTGAAGTTGGTGTAGCCTGAATGTACCTGAACATCTGTACTTCTGTCAAAGGCATAATGCTGATCTCTCCTAGACCGCGTGCTCTGGCTCGTACATGGAACATTGCAACGAGCCTGGAATGAATTGAGAGAAATAAAAAGTTTGGTGGTTGCAGTAGTGACAAGGCTCTTAGAGAAAACTTAATCAACAAACAGCAGAACAAGCTTAAACAAAGTGCCATAAATTATACATATTAGCATAAAAATGTTTTTTATACCTTAAGTGGGTCACCAATACCCCACCTCTTCAATATTTCTCCATGATTTTGACCATGGATAATAAATTTTTAAATATTAATGTCACAAGGTTAACTTGTACTGAGCAGCAAGCTCTGGCTCAACGATACCAGCAGCTGGTTTCCCTTCTACAGAAGTTGGTGACTTTGCTTTCAATGCAAATTAAAAGTTTAGAACACGTCTTGTTTGTGACTTCATATGGTAAAAGGAATTTGTGGTGAGGGAGCCCTGGGTTGATTTTTGCCTTCAGGAAATTTTTTTTTTACTGCAGCTGTAACTTTTAATCTGGTATACTCCATCCCACTAAGACTAAAAAGCTCCTGCATTTTGCTATGGGACCATACATAATTACTCACGCCTTTTCCAACAGGTCCGAGGTACGAGAGAGAATTTCTAACTTAAGCATGCAAATGTTCCTACAAAGTTCAAGGGCCAGGTTGGGTAAACAACAACTGTTCTAACAGTCTCGTGGCCAGACAGGCTCCCTTTCCTCACGTCTCAGCCTCTTAGGAGTATGACACGGTTCACGCCGCGGTTCATGACTCACTTGAGAAACCTCAGATTGACACAGCAGGTCAGCAGATTGAGGGGATGTACTAGATGTACCACTAGATTCACTACTAGATTCACGCCCCTGGAAGGGATGAGAAACCCCTGTGACTGTAGCAACTGGACTTTCCAGCCATTCCAATTCGACATCTCCAGATACAACTAAGGTTCCTGGAGACGGCTGCCCGTCTCTCAGGTTATCTGCTTGTGGTGTATCTTCCGCATGGCTGGCAGAGGTTAACTGTTAGGGGTTCTCTTGGATTTCAGGTGGTGAAAAGCATTGCTTCAGATAAAACGTTTTTGCTGAAACGTTTCCCACTGGGAAGGCTTGAGCAAACTTAGCTAAATGATCAGAGACCGCCAGCAACCACTCATGGCCAGAGATAGATCTTGGTGTGGGACCTACGATGTCTATTGCGACCCTCCGTACGGGGTGCCGTGCCTTAATGTTTATAAGGGGTGCCTTTGGCAGCTTGCAGGGGTCGTTGACTTCAGCACTTGGACACACCTTCTAACGTGCATTTCGACATCTTCCCGCATGCCATATCAATAAAATCTGTTACCTTTTTTCTAGGCTTTCGTGACGCCAAGGTGGTCTGCTGAACAATCATTGTACAAGGCGCACAACACTCGTGACGTGACTCTCCAGGGCAAGCAGATTTGATGATAAATCTCTTGGCCTTTCACTTTGTGTTCCCAATGTCTAAACACCAGACCGTCCCTGAGAAACAGCCCCATCATGAACAGTGTGATAACAGTTTGTGTCCCTCTCCTTCCACATCGCCTCTAGCGGGTCTGACACAAGTTTCAAGCCACCTCATAACTTGCAACATTCCATTTTCACAGACTGAATCAGGGGGACGTCCGTCCCTACCTGTACCAAAGCTGCCTCATCCCAGGAAAGCAAGACAGTCCATCCGCATTGCCGTGCAACTGACCTGGATGATGTTCCACGTCAAAATCAGTCACTAAGCCTTTCAAGTCACTTAGCCACCTGGCCTCTGGGGTTTTTAAAGTTCTGTATCCACTGCAGAGCACTATGGTCAGTCCTGACCAGAAAACGTAAGCTGTAGAGGAATGTCTCGAAGTGTTTCATTCCCCACACGAGGGCAACAGTTCCTACCGAGTGGTACTATAGTTCCTTTCAGCCTTTGATAGAGCGAGCACACACTGTGTGTGCTATTACACGTTCTTTCCCACACCGAGCCTGAGACAACATCGCCCCCAGCCCACTGTCACTAGCATCATTTTCCAGGATGAACGGTACGTCTAGCTTGGGGAAAGCCATGATGGGAGCACTTGACAATCTTTTTTTGATGTCCCGGAAGGCTTCCTCGCACTCAACTGTCCATCTGAAACGGTCTTCCTCTTGGCAAGCATGGTGCAAAGGGGATTCAATGGGGGCGTAGTTTTGCACAAATTGTCTATAGTAACCAGCCATCCCCAACAGTTCTCCCAGCTGACTCTCATCAACTGACTCCGGCCACTCCTTTATGACTCTTATTTTCTCTGAATCAGGAGATATGCCCTCCCTTGACACAACGTGACCAAACACAACTACTTGTTCACACAAAAGCTTGCATTTCTTGGGATTAATCTTCAAGCCTGCTTCTGTCAAGCATGACAAGACAAGTGACAGTCTCTCCCTATGCTCCTTTAATGTTCGACCAAAGACAATGATATCATCTAGATACACTAGACAGTCTGACCAACATCCCTTCAAGATAAGGTGCATAGCTCTATTAAAACACGCAGATGCATTTGTAAAGCCAACACTTAGTTTGTGGAATTGGTTAAGGCCATGCAGAGTTGCAAACGCCATCTTTTCCCCATCTTCCTCTGCCAGATCAATTTGACAATATCCCCTAAGGAGGTCGAGAGGAGAAAAACCAATTTGCCCCAGATAAACTCTCCAATATCTCATCACGCCAAGGAAGCGGGTACAAGTCTCATTTGGTTACCAAGTTAAGAGCACGGTAGTCCGCACAGAAACGTTGACTCCCAAAAGGTTTCGCTACTTCAACCACCAGACAAGACCAAAGGGAATCGGACAGTTCTATAATCTCTGCTTTGAGCATTTCATCCACTTGGCTGGGCATTTCCTGCCTTTTGTGAAAGGGAACTCTTCGCGGCAGTACCTGGATTGGCTTGGCAGCGCCTGTGTCAATGGTATGTCGTACGCCCTTCGAGGTACTTAAATCCCACAACCCCTTTGAAAGGTAGTCAGCATAAGTGGACAACACCTCATAACCCCTAAGTTTTTCCTCTTTCGGGACCAAATCACTGCTGATAGGGAACATCTCTTCTACTAACAAACTGCGGAAATCAGTGGCCCGCACAAAAACCCGCACTACATTGTTTAGCCTCGAATCCAACCTCAACATCTTCCTTTGAGGCTGCAGGGGGTACCACCTTGTAGCCCACACCCACATTGGTTTCCTCCTGTGACTCCTCCTCGCCAGCTAATGGGTGGAGGTCCTCTATACTCCTGCACCTGTAAACTTGAGGGGGTTGTTAAGGTAATTGAACACACGAGCTGGGATTCGACCTCCTTTCACAGTCACTGCCGTCCGAAAGGCCCCAGCAGAATATCTTTCTGAAAACTTGTCCACTGGTTAAGTACACCAATACATTCTTCTAAGTCATCTACCCCTTGGACCTCACAAGGTATGTCTGCAACCATATTTGGAGAAAATGTGACGGTTTCGGCCACAGTGATCCTGTAAACTCTATCAAGGAATCCAAAACCATTTTGTTGGGTCCCCCCTTACTGTAGACAGTGTTAGTGTCAAAGTTAATAGTACATTTGTGAGCAGTTAGAAAATCTATACCCATCAACATTTGCTGTGCCAAGCCTCGACACACCAGCACTTTATGCTGAGCCGTGATCACGCCCAGCTGAGTTGTTATTTCTGTTTCTCCAACCACATTAAGCTGCATGTTATTGGCCCCCAGGAGAGGCTTCAGTGCAGACGCAAGTTTGTTTATGTCTTAGAGCGACTGTATAGGTCTTCACTGATAGTTGTTGCTTCTGCATCCGTGTCTAATAAGGCTTGGGGCTTAAAACCATTGACATCACAAGGCAAAAATGTTCCCTTTGGATTCTCGGGCACGGTCACTTTCGGACTCAGGCCTCATGGTACATGTAGATCAATTGAGAAATATTCTGGTATACATTAATTACCTCTGTAAGTGGTAGTCCTTTTAGCCTTTTTCTTTGCATGATCATGGGAAGATGTTTAGAACTGGTTCACCTAAAATTAAAATGCTTGAAGATGGACTAGCAGTACCTGTGTTGCTGGTGATTGTTTTAGGCTTCCGCTGTGCTTCATTTACATGTACGGGTGCTTGTTTAGGAGGTGAGCTCTGGGTGAATGATGCAGTCGATTTCTTGGAGATTATCATTGTGCTGAAGATCAACCCTACATTGTTCATGGGAAATTCTCTTTGCTGCTTGAGGAATTTCTGCAGCAATTTCTGCATTCCTCTTTTTCTCAACTTCCGCTTTGTCAGCCTCTTTTGCTTTTTAAATTTATTACTTTGCGTTTTCTTCATCGGTTTGTGCAACTTTGGCCTTCTTTCTTGGTTTCTGTTTCTTTGTGGTTTTTGGCCTTTTCTTTAGGCAAGAAAGTGCTTTTCTGAGTGAGCTGTCTTTGAGGCTTATCTCCATACTCTTTCTTTAACAGCTCATTCTTGTCATCTTAAGAGAAGTAATGATGAAATTTGTTATGTATATTAAAATATATCGATGCAGTATGTATCTCTATGTAAACGTGAAGTGTAAACTATAAAAATTAAAAACTGTGACCACTAATCTTAAGCAGTTGTACTTCATAGTAGCTTTTCTCTGCTAACCAACAGGCCATAATTGTCTCCCTTTCTTTTATGTCTTCTTCATCTCCAGAATCCAGGTGTTTTACCTCCTGTTCATTCAATACTCTAAGGGTATCAGGTTGGTCCTCGTATTGAACAAGAAACCAGTTTTCTGCAAAAATCATCTGAACTGATTGTTAGATAGACCTTGTCAGGGTTTATGACGCCATTTTGATGAGTAGGCAAACGCATGAAAAATTTCAGCGTTTGTAGGAGAATCTAATCTCGAATAATTTCTGTAGAATGGCTGTTCTGAAAAAAATGTGAATACGCTCTACACCATAGAGGTATGAACCATCAAAGTCCCGTGAGGTGACACAGGTAAAATAGTGATTCTCGCGGAGATGCTTCTCTGCCCACAAAGGTGTTACATCCTCATGGCTTGGTTTCTCATCTCCAGCATCACCGACTCGTACACACCAGGTTTTCTTTGGCTCATCATCTCAAAGCTTGAACACAGACGATAATTCTTTCTTCTCCAACATTTGAATATCTGCCATGTATTGGGTTGGCAATTTCTCATAGAGAACATGGGGCTTAACTTTCCCAACACATGCCTTAGGTGTCGTGTCTGTCTCCATAAAAAGGTAAGATGAAGTCTGTAGAAGTGCCGTATAGCTATTAACAAAATCGGTTCTAGTTGTTAAATCTGGCTGATCAGCTAGCTGCACACCTTTGTGTTTTTTATGCGTTTAAGTAGTGTCTATACGGAACCCGACAGCATCATCACAATTCAGAAAAACCTCATGTCGCCCATCTTTTAACTGTTATTCGTCTAGTCTTTGATAAACAGCATCGCTCCATACACGGAGGAGGAAGTAAGATTCTCTTTTTGGAAAGGAACTACAAACTGTGCAATAAGAACGATGACAGTATAGAAAATCGTCTATTAGACGAAAACAAAAATTACCACGTGTCGACTTGCGGTCAGGGTAAGCCTATATTTGTACCATACTTCTCTTGTATGTGTTGCTGGATTCTCTTGAACGTTACTTTGGGCCCTGTTTTTATGTTGCCATCAAAAGGTGCAGGCATCAGCAACCACTCTCGAGAACGGACAAATACTTCCATATCTTTTCTTATTTAAGGAAACTTACTGAGAACTTAAGAAACAGCTTTTGGTACTTTCCGTTTCAGAAGCCTTTGTTCAGCCTTTGTACGAGCAATAAATCGTTTGGCTTTTTTCTTTATTTTCTTTCTTTGAAGCTTCACTTGTTCGTTTGAATTTTCAGCCAGAAAACTGTCTGGATCGTCAGTCACTATTACTCACCATTGCTTTCTGTCTCTCATATTCAAATAAGCTTGTTTTGACTTTTCCACTTTAAACTTCTCTTCATCTGTTAAGTCCCTGTTTTTAAGGTTGTTAATGACATCGGTTAAGGCAGACAAAAAAGTTTCTTCAGAATAATTTTGCAATAACGTTCGGAGTTTTACCACAAAGGCAAACCAGTTTGTTCCCTGAGTATTAGTAAAAGGTGTTCCATGTCTGGTACCAGTGATATTAGTGGCCTATTCTTATCTAGAATGATATCGCGATCTGCAGCTTGTCGTGGGTTACGAGGATTCTGCTTGTTAGCTTCACCATCAACAGCAGTAGAGGATAGCTGTTGTTCTTTCACACTCCTGTCAATACATGTGTCATCATCTTTCATCCACTCAGTCTTTGCCTTCCGAACTAGGCAGCTGGGAGACAGAGCCTTCTTCATCAGAACACGTTAGGCCAAATCCCTCCAACACTGCTTCATCTTTTACTTTTGCAAGGAGGTCAACTGCTTCCTTCATTTTTTTAAGGTCATTTAAAGCACTGTTTATCTTAGATTCCTGTTTGTAACTGTTGCTGAAGCCATATAACTTGCTAGACTTGTTCTGTGATAAGTCCTGTCCTTTACAACAGGCATACTTTATCAGCAGTCTGTAGGATTCTGTGCTTGCCAAAGTAGTGCGGATGATTAGCGTAAGATTGTTCAAAGTGGTGATACAAGTACCAAATTTCATATTTTTGGTCCTTTTCAAGCAGGTAATGATAAGTAATCAGGATCCACGTTGGATCCTGATCTCTTTGCCAGTTATTGCAGAACGAGAAGTTCCCATGTATTTTTCTTTGGAAACCACAGGACACCCAATGTCAAAAAATGGAAAACGTTAAAAGAGAGCTACTTGAACTATCTATCCCACTCTTTTTTGGACGTAATTTTTTCTTGCAGTAAATGCTAAGCAATTAAAAGTTTTAACTGGCAAAGTCTTACTTGACAGGTTTTTTTAAAATCTTGATAGGAATTACCATTGCAAGCGCACAGTGTAGTGCAGGGCAAGTTTGCCTTGGTGCACTTGCAAAGTCCCCGACGTGCACACTTGCGGCCACATCTGATGAGCTCATTGCATGTGTTTGAAGCCTCGGCTAGGGTAGTCCAAGTCGGCTTCCATCTGTCTGAAGATAGATGCCATCCCCACTCTGCTGCACTTGGAAGTTCATGGATAGAAACTAAGATTTGACCCCAAACTTGACCCACTTGATATGCTGCCCTCTTGATGTCCTATTCAATTGCAACTTGGCCTGGTGGGATACTTTCAATGCTTCTGGTACCTTGCGAAAACATGAACTGCGGTGCATTGTTGACATCTTCATGTCTGGTTTGGTTGTACATTAAAACCCTAAACCATTCCAGTACCCTGAGTTGCTTATTGGACAGCATTAACTGTGGCGTTGATAAATCTCGTATTACCTACTACAACAATTCAGTGGCTTCATTTAACTTTCTGGAATTGCACACGCAACCCAGTGGTGATATACACCCATAGCCTGGTCCTGATTCACAATTATCAATACCAGTGCAAATTACTCAACGCTCTCATCAACAGAAAAACAGCCATTTATCATGCAACCATTCAACATCTACTCGCATTATTTCGAAAACAGTGCCCACTTGTTGCTCAAGCGTCAAAACGGAACATGGAAAACTTATGTCTCGTCAGCCGTGTACCATACACAGCGAAGTCATCAACAGAAGCTCATATGCCTAATTGTCGTAATCCCAATAACCTGATTACCATTCAGCGATTGCCTTTAAAAGCCAGCAATGCCCACCATATGTCTACGTGTCCTTTAAATTCGCGGTCTATAAATAATAAGGTACTAATTATCAAAGACTATGTAGTTGATTATCAAATTGATATCTGGGGGATTACTGAAACTTGGACCAAATCAGATGGTGAATCCAATCGTGTTGTGAATGAGATGAGTCACCGGGGAAATTCATTCATCCACCTACCGAGAAAAAAACGATCTGGTGGTGGTATTAACCTGTTATATAACACAAGCCTGAAAATCGAAAGGGTTGATTGTAACAGTTATGCCTCTTTTGAATACTTGGAGGTGAAACTGCACACTGCATCAACAGTTGTTAGAATTGCAGTTGTTTACTGCCCTCCTTCGTCAAAAGTTAATAAACTTACTTCCTCCCAGTTCTTTCATGATTTTAACGATCTGCTTGAACACTTCTCAGTTTCCTCTGGTAGGCTTTTGATCATGGGTGACTTCAATTTTCATGTAAATGAACCATCTCGTGATCGTCTGTTGGCTAAATTTCTTGATTTTCTGGACTCTTATAACTTGGCCGAGCATGTTACAGAGCCTACACACAAGCGTAAGGGCACGCTGGACTTGATAATTACAAGGGTAAACGAGGATACTGTTTTGAACTGTAAGGTTGAGGACCCTGACCTATCTGATCACTACACGGTACACTGCATTTTGACATTGGATAAGCCCACTGCTCGTAGAGTCGAAAAGACCTATCGAAAACTGCACAGCGTAGATATGGAAGCGTTATGGAGAGATCTGACAACTTTACCTGTCTTCACCTCCCCGGCTACAAATGTAACTGATCTATTAGCACAGTATCAAAATGCTCTTGATGGTTTGCTTGAAATCCATGCGCCCCTAAAAAGAGGCCTTCCACGCCATGCTATAATAATGAAATTGTGTCTACAAAACGTGAACGGCGTAAACTGAAGGGGCACTGGTGAAAAGCCAAACTAAGTGTACACCAACAACTGTACAAAGACAAATGCAAACAAGTCAGGTCTTTTATTACATCGGCGAAGATGAAGTTTTACTCTGATATGATAAAAGAAAACAAAGGCAATCATAAGGTGTTGTTTTCTGCCATTGACCGCATGTTAAACCTGACACTGGAGAAGTGTTACCCTTCTTGCGAGTCTGCAAAAGAATTATGTAACAACTTCGCGGATTTTTTCTCAAGCAAGATTGCCACAATTCGATCGAATCTAGGCTCTTTGGCACTGCCTGATATCCCTTTCCGATTTTCCCATTTTGATAATCCCTCTATTCAATGTGAGTTTAACCAGTTCAAGGTGACTACTGCTGTCGAACCTAGCAAATATATTACTAAAATGGCTACGAAGTCGTGCTCCCTAGACCCGATTCCTTCTAACTTACTTAAGTTGTGCTTTTCTGATTTGGTACCAATCATAACAAAGATTGTTAATTGCTGTTTAGAAAGTGGTGAAGTTCCTCTGCCTATGAAGAGGGCTATTTTATCTCCTCTTAAAAAACCGTCCCTTGACACTGAGCTCTATCCAAGCTTCAGACCGGTATCGAACCTCATGCTTGTGTCCAAGGCAACAGAAAAAGTAGCGGCTATGGAACTCTGGGAATATTTATGTTCAAGTGGATTAAAAAAGGAACTTCAGTCTGCTTATTAGGCTAACCATATCTGTGAAACAGCTCTGATTCGAGTACAGGATGATATCCTCAAAGCCATCGATAGTCATCGCGGTGTTTTGCTTTTGCTATTGGATCTTTCTGCAGCCTTTGATACGGTTGATCATGAAAGTTTTCTAGGAAGACTCTCCTCTAGGTTCGGTATCAAAGGAAAAGCCCGTGATTGGCTACGGTCTTACCTTACAGACCGTACTCAGCTTGTGAAAGTGGACGACGCTTTATACGCGGTACGACCCCTTTATTGGGGGTGTGCCTCAAGGTTCGGTCCTAGGCCCCATGCTTTACTTATTTTATACATCTACACTGGGTGATATTGTTCGAGAGCATGGCTTGTCGTTTCACTTTTAAGCTGATGACTCGCAGCTTTATACATCTTTTGCTTGCAATGACACCTCTGATCTAGTGGCTGCAAAACAATGTCTTGAGCGCTGCGTTGCTGACATCAATTTGTGGATGACTACCAACAAGTTGAAGCTTAACAATGATAAATCAGAAGTTATCTTTCTGCACTCCTGTTTTCGTCATTCGTTGTCCCCTCCCACGATTTCTGTTGGCATGGAAAACATCAGGCCCTCTCAACAGGCTCGCAATCTTGGCGTGATTTTTGACGACACAATGTCACTTTCACCACATGTTAATACAATAGTTAAGGGTGCCGTCTATCACATACGAAATATTTCTAAAATAAGAAAATACATCAGTAAAAGTACCACAGAAATTCTAATTCACAGTTTTGTTAGCTCGAAGTTGGACTTTTGTAATTCTCTTCTTTTTGGTGCCCCAAAACGGGACATAGTTAAGCGGCAGTCCGTTCAAAATGCGGCTGCTCGAATTATAGCCAGTCTCAAAAAGCAAGATCACATCACTGAGACTCTAAAAAATCTTCACTAGCTTCCTGTTGAGGAGAGAATTGTTTTTAAAATAAATTTAATAACTTTTAAAACATAGAATGACTCTGGTCCCCATTATCTTGAAGATATTTTAAAATTTTACCATCAATCAAGGACATTACAGTCATCAAGGGATCATTTACGCCTTCAAGAACCGAATTTTAACATGAAAACTTATGGCCAGCGAGCATTTTCCGTTGCTGCCCCTTGACTATGGAACAAGCTCCCCTTTGAAATTCGAGCTTGTTCTGATGTTAATCTTTTTAAATCTAAGTTAAAAACGTTTCTTTTTAAAAAGGTATATGACATTTAGTTTCATCATATTTGTTTTTGTTTTCTTTCCTTTTTAAGATCTGTATGCTATAAATTTCCCAATTTGTACAGTAGTGTTATATGTAAGCTTGTGATTAATGATATTATGTCCTTTTTAACATTGTAAAGCGCTTAGAACAGCGATGTAGAAGGATAGCACTTCCATGCTTGAAAGGCGGTCTTCTTGCCCTTTCCCGAGAATAATGATACAGTATCACATCCAGTAAGTGCGTGGAAGAATGGCAGGCCTTCACATTGCTCAGTGTTAAGTGAGCTGGCTATCTTGTGGACTGACAGGTAGCGTACTTGCTTGCCAACCTCAAATGCAATCCATAGCTCTTCTTCATCTAATATGAGCACGTCTGTATCAACAGTTCGCATAAGGATCTTGTTCATACTGTTGACAGAGGCATGCTTTGCATGGACGAAGATATGGTTATCTGTCTCCTCATGGTTGCAAGGTGCCATGCCCTCTATCGTGGTGGAACCAATTACGTCCAAGCAGCCGTACAGATAACCTCTGAATCAGGAAGTCTGAGGGATTGAACCCTTGCTGCAAGATACTCGAAGAGTTTCTTCTCGTTGTCATCCAGTCTCAGAAATGACTTCGAGTTTAAAGGAATTGCGGCATCATCACACACATGTCTGCAGGTTCCTGTACCTCTGGCCTCACGAGTACCTTGTTTGAGGCTGTTTTCCAAGTAACGATCCCATACTAAATCATTTCTCTTTACATTCTGAGTGCAATAGCTGATGATGTACGGGAGAAAAACTGTTTCTGCGTACTCCTTAAAGGTCTTGCACTTACCAGGTGGAAACATGTTAACAATAGCAGCACCATCTAGAACAACTGCATCAACCGAAGGACGCTCAAACGCTGTGTTGACTTCAATGCATGTGATAAGGTCCGATTTCTGTCCTGTACTCTTCTTCTCATTACGTGAAAGGGCAAGCACACTTGAACTGTTTTCGTGCTTGAAAAGTTCCTCGAGGTTTCCTTCTCTTGCTTGACAGGCAATGTGCAGTCTGGAAAAGAGTCGGCAGTCACTATTAAGATTGGCAACTTGATTACTTGTCTTACTTGACTGTCGTTTCTCAGGTGTGCCAAACAAAGGTAAGTTGCATCGTTGCAAAGTATCTGCTATGGGTTTGGATTGCTTGTTAAGTCGCTCTTCTACATTTTTCTCATACTTTGACTTTCCCTTCTCCTTGGCACCTGAAATCACTTCAACGACACATGTAGACATATTATGTAACATTTGTTTCCGCATGCAATCTTGAGATTGAAGTGGAGGGGACGTTTTGGAATCCAGAAGCCACCCCGGGAGATTGATACGAGCTGGCAACCACTTCCGACTTTGTTGTGGATATGACCTTTGTTTCAGAGTGGAGCTTAAAACTTGAAGGGTTGATGGGATTTTCTGTTTTAGCAGCAGGTTTGGGAGAGGATTCATTAGTAATGGATTGCAATTGTGACTTTAGGTATTCCCCAATACGGCTATGGGTGTCATCTTGTGGACGTCCAAGAGTGTCCGTTTTAATTTAAGTAATACCAAATTCCTCCTCTTTGATGCTAGTTAATGCTTCAATTTCGGCATTAGTGGCTGCTGGTTCCCTCATTATTTGTAGTTTCTTGATGTCATCTTGCTTTTAAGCAGCTACCTTCTCTCTTTTGATATCATGGAATCTAAGTTCTGCGACGGGTCTGGCAGCCTTCGCCATCATTTCTGTTCTTATTGGAATAGAAAAGCTGGTGTGGGTGTTTAGATTTACTGGACAACCTACTTCGACAAGAGCGCTTTAAATAAAGGGAGACTCTATTGCTCACTTCAGATTGTAACTCGCATATTTGGATATTCAGAGTTCTGGCAACTTCCATGTTTTCGTGTAGCCATATTCCATGATCTTCCATGTCCTTAGACCTTTGTTCGGGATGTTGGAGGTCGTTTAGTTTATGACTCGCTTAGGTGAAACCAGTGACCTTGCTGTCTGGACCTGATCTTTCCATATTTTCAACGCCAAATCGCAATCTCTTTCTAGCAACTGTTTTCGATAGTCTAATCCCTTTTCTGTCATCCTTCTTTTGCATGTACATTTCCAAGTGTTTTCTTCACGTGACGCTTTCGTTGATTCAACCACGTTTTCCTCTCACAGTGGGAGAGTTTTTAATGTAGTGTACTGATCATCACTTTGCGTTAAAAAGGTATTTATCAAACCAAAGACAGTGATCGAGGATACTTGATGAATTTATCGATCATTTAGGCGCGTAAAAACTGTAATAGAAACAACAATGAAATTATCGAGAGCCTAGCTAAGAGTCTTGAACGTGATGTCGTAAATAACTCGGTGATAACTTGATAGAAAGCAAATATGATTATCGACTAGTTTGGAAGGTAAATAAAGGCTGATTAATCTGTGATTCATGCAACGAATTCAAGTAAAGAAATATTAAAGAATGAATCACACCTCTTTTCCCAATTAAAATGATTGGACTTACAAGCATTTTCATAACCGATCACAATATAGGCGTAAAGCATGAAGCAGGACTACAAAGACAATTACACTATCATCAGGCCTCACCCCCTAAGCTGGTGGGTATGTACATTAGTAATGCATTATGAAGTAACGCATTTGTAACAATAGGATGCTTCCTCTGTCTTTAATTACGGATGGATCCTGAAAGCAGAGTTTCAGTGAGGGTTGGATTCATTGTTCTGTGATGAAGTGTCAAGGCATCAGTATGTTTATAGATCACGCACTCTGTTTTTGTTTTTCTGGGTCCAAGTCCACCCTCACGGTATTGTTTTCTCCAGCATTCTGTTCATCCTTAAACCACAAACGTTATGCTATTTGGATTTTTATAAAAGGAAGTAACACATGTAGTTCACCAATCTCCTATTCTTTGCAGGCAGAAGCTCTGATTGTTTAAGTATGACATTAACTTCATGGTTAAATTAAATATAGCATCCTACAACAGGGCACCAAGGCATATTGTAGAAATGTTACATGATACCTGCTACAACTGATATCACTAGGTTTAGTGGTACTTTCTGCACCAAACTGGTGTGACAATTTCCTTTTAACGAAGACCAAACCATTTATTTTTTGCTTCTTTCCAGTTAAAAACTTATGCTATCATCACAGATAATAGAGCTCAAAGTTTTCAAGAGTTGTCACTAACCTTCACTTTTGGTCCTACTTGGATTTGACATGTGTTATTGATCACGAGGGTAGCCTGTACTTAGCTTTGTGTTGTGTTTGCTACAGAATAAGAGTAGGTGAGGATAAGAATAGATATCAAGCCAAACTGTTAGGTTTTGTAATACTGAAGGAGATCAACCAAATTACATTTTAAGGTACAGGACTATCCCTTTCAAAAATTCTCCTGAATGTGTTGATATTTTTTGAGGTATCATTTACTTTAGCCCCTATTAGAAAATAAAAAGCATGCATTGCCAGGCCTGGCTTGAAAATTACGCAAGCAGCTAAAAGCGTCAGTAATGTATTTCTAATCTGCCAACCTATGCTTGATGTTGTAGCAGTGGAGATTGTTGATTTCTCGGATGGATGACCACCGTTCTATATAAAAGAGAAAAAATGTATCATGCACATTAGTCACAGTATGATTGATTGTTTAAAGAATTAGGCACATTAGATTTAGTTTGCACGATTCAAATAGCCAACATAGATAATGGTGCACTGGTGCTGCAATGTAAATTGGATATAAAATGTACAACTGGATTCATTTTATTTTTGCTCTTGCAGAGATAACTTAAAAGTAACGTTATCGATAAAATAAAATAACGTTATAAGTTAAACATACTGTTTTCTAGGTGCATTGGGAAACTAGCAACCAACCATTTTATTGACTTACAGAGTGTGAGAAAAACATACCTTAATAATAGTAAAGTTTGTTCTTGTTTTCTATAACATGTCTCTCATAAACATCAATGTATTCCTCCCANTATCATGCACATTAGTCACAGTATGATTGATTGTTTAAAGAATTAGGCACATTAGATTTAGTTTGCACGATTCAAATAGCCAACATAGATAATGGTGCACTGGTGCTGCAATGTAAATTGGATATAAAATGTACAACTGAATTCATTTTATTTTTGCTCTTGCAGAGATAACTTAAAAGTAACGTTATCAATAAAATAAAATAACGTTATAAGTTAAACATACTGTTTTCTAGGTGCATTGGGAAACTAGCAACCAACCATTTTATTGACTTACAGAGTGTGAGAAAAACATACCTTAATAATAGTAAAGTTTGTTCTTGTTTTCTATAACATGTCTCTCATAAACATCAATGTATTCCTCCCATTCTGATATGGATATATTTGACTCCGTCAGTTCTTTTGGCGAAATTGGATCTGTATTCTTCGCTTTCATTCTTGTGTTGTTGACGAATCTTAGTACGTAAGCTAATGTTTTCCTGGCCTTTGAGAATGTTGAACACGTTCTCATCAAATGTTCAAAGGGAGGATTGTCTCTTAATTCTTTCTGGGCAGTTGAAAATTCTGCTTTGTCGCAGGACGTTGGTCTGGCTTCAGTGAAAGGTTTCATTCCAGCTGACAACTCTTCATTGATCTTCAGTGCATTTTCTTCAAATTTGGGCCACTCTTCTTGCGGCTTTCTAACGAACTGCGGTCCTTGTGACCATTTTTCCAACTGTTCCGGGAGAATTCCCTTCGTCAAGGCGTCAGTTGGATTATGTTCAGATCTGATGTACCTAAACTCTTGAGGGTCTATTGTCTCTTGGATTTCAGCAACTTGTACCGAGACAAACTTTTTAAATTTTCTCAGACTTGTTTTAAGCCATGACAGCACAACTTGGGAGTCGACCCAGAACACTTTCTTGCAGCTGCTAATCTCCTTGAGTTCTAAGCCTTCCTACATGGTCGGTATAACCTTGAGAGCGCGAGACAACCCATCAACTCCAAACGCAGAATTGACTTCTTTAGGGGTGAGACAAAGGCTTTGACCATGAGCTGTACGCAGGTGTAGCTGCTATCATCAAGTTTCCAACAAAGAAACATGGCTGAACCATAAGCCTTTATTCCAACATCACAGAATCCGTGTATTCCTGGCATTCCAACTGCATTATCTGGCTTTAGCTTTCTTTTGAATTAGTACTTGAGAAGTTGGTTGAGTACTTGGACATCTTTTTTCCACCTTGTTTGAATCTCGAATAACCTGAACTCTACAATTCTTGTAAATTAATTGTCATCTTGATAGTTGTTGGAGTCACGAGGCCTGTGGGATCCCAAAGCTGGGCCAGGTAGGCGAGGCAATTTCTCTTTGTAACAGGCTTCTCCTCTGCAGCAATTTCTGTTTTCTTAAAGGTAATGGTGCCTCTAACCTTATTCTATTTTTTTTTTGATGTGGGATTGTAAACTTGCTTCTTTGTTTAGGCAATCAATCGAATTTAACGTTTTCTTCTTTTCCCGTGCGTAGCATTTTGCGGGCAAATTCAATGTTATCGCTGGCATCCAAGGGTGCTTCCGATGTGCTGGTTACTGAGCAACCGTTTTGTTCCAGGTTTTTCACGAAGCTTAATATTCTAGCAGCGTAATGCGAGAGCGTGGTCAAGTCATTATTTATTGGTTTGAGATTGGTAATTTCATTTCGTTCACCCAGGTAATTAAAGGAAACTAGAGGTTTAAGTCCTAAAATGTACGGACGAACTAAAAGAACGAACCGGTGTGAACTAGTCTGGTTTGTCTCTAAAAACCATTGCGAAAAGAATCAACAACGTCGACATCGTCCTCTTCCTCTTTGTACTTACACATCCAATAGTTAAATTCGCTCTTCCAAGTTGCGTAAGATTTTCCATTTCCATCGCATGTTGGCACTGATAACTTCTCAAGTCCGTGACTAGCGGTCTTTTGCGAACCTAAAATGTCTTCCATTTTGGTTACTGCTATGGTCATAGCTTCGAGTGCATCGTGCTTAAGTGGTGGTTCTTGGGAGTTGCATGCTTTTTGATAATTGGGAAAAACTTCGCTGTATCCGTTTCGAAAAAATAACAAAATATTTTGTAATGCATAGCATTAAATTTGCTAAACTAACACACAACGAAATAAACAAAATAATAGACCTACCTTTTAAGCTGTGTTCGTCTGAGTTTTGTTTTTCCTGAAATATTTTCTGAGGTACCTCCCTTCTACGTCTGATCGGTCTGTTCCATATCTGAAGTCTATGGTTTTAAATCGTAAACAGTGTATAAAGTGGTATATATTTATGCATTTAAGTGTCATTTCCAACATTCTAAAGTTCATAGATATATATGCTTCAATTCAAAAATCCTGTAGGTAACATTCGAACAGTTCTTTGGATGTTTCGGTACATAGATAACTTTGCTTCACGCGGGAAAAGAGCGTTTCTGAAGGGTGTGTGCTTTTTATTGCCTGAAGTGATGCTTTTTTTCGTGGATATCTTACAAGCAAAAGCGTGAATAATATACATGACTCCATGTTTCAGTTGTATTTTTATGTATATTTGAATTTGGATATACAAAAAGATATCAATTTTTTATCCGATAAATCTGAACAAATCGATGTGGACTAATGGTATAGTAGAGAAACAGGGATGCCAGAGCTAAAGTGGAGCATTGGTTCAAGTCACACTGACGGCCAAGGAAAAAGGGAAACTGTGGGAGCACTGGCCAGTGAAGGAGGGGAGAAAAAGGAGCGAGAGGGGTAAAAAAATTCCTCTTTTATTAATGCAGTAAGTACTCATTACCAAGGTATATATGCAATACTCTGGGGAATTCGCTATTGTCTGGGAAGACAATAGCAGGGTTACATAATTAATGAGATCGAATGCATAATCAATTTTCCCCAGCATATTGTTAACAAATACAGCAACTGATATAATTTAAGCTGAATTACACAAAAGATAAACTTGACCACTGGACACATCAATGCAAATGTAATAGAAAGTGGCGAAAAAGCACAGACAGGCGTAATATACGCAAATGTTTCAGCAGTGACAGTGACAGTGACAGGTGCACAAGTGGTGTTGGACCCTAGTTGTCTTGCCATTCTTCCGCAAGTTTAAGAAATTCAGTCACCAGATCTTTTGGCTCTTCCATGGATTCTCCTTTGAAGAGATTGATACTTGTAGGGTTCATCTGGCCGTACTGAAAATATGCACCACGCTTTCGTCTCTCCATACTAAACAGGCATGGAACTCCAATGTGGCGTGCCTTGGGTGGAATCGCATGGAAGTGAGGCAGGCACGGCTGCAACAGCCCCGTGTTGACACACTTTTTTACTTGGCAGCTCTGACAGCTCGAGTTCAGTTTTGGAAGAGTTTTTATCCTAACGTTTTTGTGACCTCAATGTTCGATGGCCTCTTGTAGTATATAAAGTTCTCGCAAACGTACATTTGCTGGAGAGGGAAAGTTAAACTTTTTGTTAGACCCTAGCGTATTTTTCTATAGCTTTGAACTAAACGTGTTTGGTGAAGAAATTAAGCTCAACTGGAAGCCCGCGGATGAAGATCCTGCTCAAGTGTTTTCAAACTTTTCGTCAATTTCAATTGGTCTAAAGTTTAAAAGTAAGCACACATTTTCACGAGTTCGAGATTTAGCTTATATATATATATTGCACTTGAGAGAATGGTCTTAAAACATAAATTGCTTTATTTAAACCCAACGCATTTCGGCTTCTGCCTTCATCAGGGTCTCTGCTTCGGGTATAGTTACAAATGATTAGAGTAATTACTGTGACATAATAATGGAGTGATTTGGTAATCATGTGTCAACTAGTTTTGGACGTGATATTTTAGCGGACTAGAGCAGAAGGCCCTGTATAACTTATGTTTTTAAACATTATTAATGTACGCACTACTTTAATATATAGATTTAGCCAGGGCTAAAAGCAAAGCTCTGGTTAATAATGCTTAGAAACGAAAAAAATTAAATCATGTAATGCTAAACGGGGACGGCAATAAAAATGGCACCACGATCAATAGATCTAATTAGCAAAACAACAAATTGCACGTGCAGTACACTTTTTTCTTATTAGCAAAAAAACAAATTTGTACGTGCAGCACGCTTTTTGTCTTTTTTTGCCATTGTTTTGCTCAGCTACAACGCTGTTTTGTAGGACTAAAACGTCAAACTTCCTAGTTACACATTTTTATGGAGGAATTGTTGTATGTGCTTACGCAATTTTGTCTCCTGTGTTCATGTTCGCTTTTATTTTTTCTGCCGCTCATTTTCACCTTGCTGGCCACTACCATTTCTCATTGTCTCACGGCTGCTTTGAATTTTCATGTCTTTCTCCCTACCAAATTCATCTCTTTTGTTTTCAATCACTCACCCTAGCTGTTTCTCAGTGATCCACGTGGGTGGAAACATCAAAAATAACGTCGAAAAAAACGCAACTTTGTTGTTTTTTCTTTCTAAAAGTCCGGGTGGTTATGCGCTTTTTTCCAAATAAAACCTTGAGTTCATTTGGGTTGCCATACCTGTTGATGGAATTATTTTACATTGGTATGACTGTGGTGCAGACAGATGGCCGGTCGGTGTACGGTCACGTGATTACCAAAGTTTCTCGAATGGGTAGTTTACCACATGTTCTTACCCTTGGAGCTCCGCTATAAAGGTCTTTTGCGCTTTTAAACTCTAGCCTTTACGTTTATTCAGGCCAATAGGCTGCAGAGTTTTTAGCCTACTTTGCCAAAATATTTCCCCTTTGCGGGGTAATTCTTTTTTTAATTCAACAGTCATATCAGTACGTTTTATTTGCTTGATAATTGTAATGGTGATGTCATTGTGAAAGTTATGAGTTCTAGGGTTAAGGAGAAAGTGCTCCGTGATTTCACAGCTACAAGAAGCCTTTTCAATGTGGTTCCTGTGGTTTTTCAGCCGTATGTTGAAGCCTGTCTCACTCGTTCTGACATATTGTAAGTTGCAAATGTTACATTTGATGATGTGAGTCACCCACGTTGATTGGAAATTCCCTACATGGTATATATCAAAAATTATATCTTCTTAGGTGCCTGTGAATGTTGAGGTTTTATTTATGCGTGTGCACCAGCTGCATTTCGGTTTATTGCAGGGGCCACAAACACCTGTCGTGGTGCTCGCTCCTGGCATTTTGGTTCTCATTTTGGCACACACAAGTGTATCTTGGAGGCTTTCAGGTCGTCTTTATGCTATTAATGGTGGTTCGTGAAAAATGCAAGGTAACCTTTCCTTTGATTGGAGGAATTGCCAGTGTCTATGCGCTCTTTTGGCAATAAATGTGGTATGGGGATTGTGAGTACTTGGGGAATATGACTGGTCGTTCCCCTATCCCTGGCGCGCAAACTCTCTTCCTGTGTGAGGGAGAGAACTTTTCGCATATCGGTTAGAACTCTATTACTTTTGTAGCTGCAAGCGACAAAAAATTAGAATATTCCATTATCCTCTGTTCTAGTAGGTCGTTTGATGAGCATATCCTCCTAAGCCTGAAGACCTGGTTGTACGGAATGTTGTATTTCAAATCACGTTGGTCAGCGGCGCCATCATGGCTGCCACGGTGTCTTGTTGTCTCTGTTAAATGTGTGTTTGTAGTTGTTCTCAACGACCTAAAGCTAAACATGTGGCCTTCGAACTTTATTTGGGCACCCACTCTACTGTTCGTGTACTTTTATTTCAAGCTTACAAACATTTGGAGGCACAGTGATCGACGGTTCTCTGTTCAGCTTAATGGCTTTCAATCTGGCAGCCATGTTGATCCTGTTAGCTCTTCATCGTCCAGGATTAACTACTCCAGCTCCTATTTAAANAAATGTGGCGGATGGGCCAAGGTCCAGTGTAGGTATGCGTGGGTGTCGGTGGGTTTCTGGTACAAATCTGTGTTGATGTCACTCATAGAAATCTTTATCACCTTAGTATCAAGAAAGTTCACAGAACTGCGGGAGATTTTGTGCGTGAATGTAATCAGTGGTACCACGACGTTAAGGTACCCTATAAAAGCTGTAAGAGAGTCTTTGCTTCCTTTCCAAATTAGATATATATCATCAATGAAACGTACCCAGTCAATAATATAATTTAACCGTTCCGTCTGGTAAACAAATTTATCCCCTAGTTGGCCCATATATACATTTGCGAAATTGGGAGCAGCTCTAGTGCCCATTGCGGTACCCTTAACTTGTATGAAATTCTCATTGTCGAATGTAAAATTGGTCAGTTTAAGGACTTTATCAAGGAGGCAAGTTAATGTCTTAGCCAAAGGACGGCTTGGCCCATTTTTTCAAGATCCTCCTTGACTGTGGTAAGTCCCTCATCTGTGTCTATATTTGTATATAGACTGGAGACATCTAGTGTAACTACGTATTTCATATTTCTTTCACAATATCTTGTCTCAATCGATCAACGTAAGAATTTAAGTATGGTTCTCTAGATGGCCTGTAATGATATTCCCTGCGTTCTGTTTGGTTCAATTTCTCAAGTATTGAGGGTCGGTACATTGGTTGTTGTTCAATATCATCAGTGTTATCAGGAGTATGGTATTCCCTAAGGTTCAGCCTTCTGGCTAAGGTATCAATGTCCTTGTTAAGAGTTTCTAGCTTCGGTGGTGGTGGGGTGGAACAAAAAATTAAGCCCTTCTGTAATAAACTCTCATGTCCATATATATATATATTTCTATATATATGGGCTAGTTAAAGTGGTCATCATAAGCTCTGTAAAATGGCGTTTCATGATATGTACTTCAACATTTTAGATGACGACTATCATGTTTCCCACCAAAGATTCTGGTTCACGCGCAAGTCCTAGGAAAAAGCTTGTACATTTTTGCCTTGTTTAAGAGCGGATCTGAACTCTGATGAATAAGCTTGCTGTTATTGCAAAATGATACAAGTAAAGTGCTTAAGTTGACATGTACATCTCTTTGAGGCTTTTTTAACATGAACGTAGTTCAGGAGTAACATGGAACTTTTTTGTGAGCTCATTATTTTCCCTACATATCAGACAGTGCACTCTAAAGTTTAATCATGTTTAACCCATTCGCTCCTGGAGATTTTGCCGAAAAACGCGTTTTGAAGCTAATCGAGTGGTTTTCTGGTCACTGTCGTGCTATAAAGAGCTAAAACTTACCACAAACCGGTTTACAGGTCGTACACTTCGCGGCCTTCTGATCCAGATGCAAAATATCTGTTTGCGACGTTGGAGCATGCGCAGAAGCAAAATTTCGCTTTCTTTCCTCCTCCCTTCTTTTTTCGCTTTTCTTGCCTCATTTTTTTCCTCTTGCTGGGCATTTAGTAGGCTTCATTTTGGTGGGAAGAGTTTTTAGGAAAGCTTTTAGGATCTTAGGATTAGATGAAAGCAAAGGTAGATGAGCAATGGAATAAGATTTTCATGGAGATTTTCAGGTCAATGTCACGTGGTTTTTTCTTCTTTCTCCGGTGTCCTTGACTGAATTGTGCTCATTCTGGTATGGTTTGAAAGATCTCTTCACTCTACACAAGTTACCGAAGAAAGTTGTCCTTGAACGTTAAAACTGATGTCGTCACAAATGGTAGAAAGGACCTGGATCCGCACGGGCGGTTACGGGCGGTTCAGGGGCGAATGGGTTAAACAAAAGGGAAGAACTCTCATCTTAACTTCCTGAGATAAGACTGCAGGGGGTTAAACTCCTTAAAATGAGACCAGATAAACTCTGAAAATAAGTTTTGCAGTCTTCAAGTAGAGACATGAAATTCTTGTTTTGAGATTACAAAGAACTTCTTTGTTACTCAAAATAAGTTCACTCAAAATTTCGAAACTAGTTGGCTAAATCTCAAAATAAGGCAAAAGGTACATGTTTTAGGAAATGAGATATAGGCCTTTTTTCCTCTAAAAATAAGGCATTCATTTTTTAGATACGAGCTTTCTCCTTTGGTAATAAACAGAACAATTCCCACTACAAATTCAACACAAAATTTTAATTGTTTTTCACAGGGGTCGACACATGAGTACAAGAAGCATATTATGATTAGCAAATGTCAGAAACCATTGCAACAATTTAAAACAAAATTCACTTTTTGGCGCGAAGAGAAGTTTATTAAGGATACGAACAAAAAATGAACAACAGCCAATGATATGCCTAATAAACCTCTCTGCCACCAAACGGAAACACCCAAAAAACGAACGGTGCACTAAGCAACTACGAAGTACTAGAAAGAACAGCAAAACGAAGCTGCTGAGCGAAGGCGAGCTTTGATTCGACTCTGAATTCTAAATATACCTTATACGCATCACTTGTCCAGTTCTCGTATATCTGTATGAGTTCACCTGGTACACTGTGATTCAAGGCCCAAGAGGCCGCACTGTGACGGAAAGAATGACCTCGATAGGACGAAGCGTTAGGAAGACCAGCAGCAGAAAGCACCTGACGGAAAGCGGCAATAAAACGATCCTGAGTAAGAACAGTAGGACCGTAAGGGCTTGGCAAAACGAATAAGGCGGACTGAGAACCAGCGGGAACGAGACAAACCATACAGTGATATGCAGAGACTGGGCATATGGGAGAGCCCGGCAATCGTAACAAGGGAATATTCAATTTTCGCTCCCTGAGCTGAATAGTCTTGGTACACTTAAAAGTAATAATTAGCCCATGTTGATTGGCTGCAACATTGCTCCGAGTAAGATTACGCGAAGGATTAAAGCACTTACGTGAACGCGGTACGATATTGGCTTACCGCGCCATTAAAAAGAATGTAAATAAAAAGGCACTAAACAGCGTGCACGAAATAGGATCGGTCTCGAAATCTAAAACCCTAGAAATCTGACACAAAATATCCAGAGTAACTGGAGGAGCTTGGCATGGGGTGTGGAGCGCGTTACGCGCAATACCACGCAATGTCAACAAGAGTAGAAAATCCTTAGTAAATGGAAAATCTAGCCCTGAAAACAAATGTAACAGCTTAACCCCTGACAAATAGTTACGAATAGCGGGAGAACTAAGCGTACGACTAAGAAATTGCACATACAAACAGATAGTATCCAACGTAGCTGGCGTCGGGGTAAAGCGGAAATATGTAGAAAATAACAAAAAGGCTTTAAATTGAGTCCTTAAATTACTAAATGTTCCAGCACTATAGGCAGAACGAAGCATGTGCTTCCAATCCTTTCTCAATGGAGACAATGCTAAGAAATCTACAGTTAAAAACAAACAAAACGGTCCATTAGAAGCTCGCTAGAAGTCCATGTACCTCTTAGGATGCTAGAACACATTATGAACAAGGGTCTGTGACGAGCCACATCTCTCTGGGCATGAGATTNCGCTAAGAAACAGACTTATCACAGACAAGAATTATTAAAAGCATTCCGGCATCGTCCCGAGTTCAACGCAGTGACTGCGACTTCATTGTCGCACCGAACAGTTAAACGAAGGCCGCGCCAAAGATGGCCCCACAATTTGAGCGCAACAACAGTGGTCAAAAGTTCCAAGGAATTAATGTCAAGATTCTGGATTGAGATGAACTCTGGAAACTCTGCATGAAAATAAGAACGCGCACAAAGACCTCCATAACCGGGTAAGCAAGCGTTGGTGGTAAACGCCTCGCCAGGAGACAATCAGTTATTTGCGGTAATCATGGACACACTGTTGTAGACACGCAAAAACCGGCACCACCATTTAATGTCTTTATGAAATTCAGAATTGAGAGTAATATGATGATGATTAAATTTTACCGACCGTAACAAACGAAGAATCCGCGCAATGAAGACTCAACTTTGGCGGACACACTTAGAGACAAATACCAACGTGCCTACCAGCGACTGAAGAGATGATTTCGTTGTTGTACGCTTGTGTAACCATGTTGGTAACAAGCTTTCAATTTTGGCTAAATGGTCATAGTCCACTGATAAGGTAAAGTCAAGAGTATTGAGTTGGACACCCAAACAAGTCATTACTTGAGACGGAGGACATGATTTATAAGAGATTCCTCTAATCCAAGATGATGCAGCAAGATGCCAACCTCGTTGAAATGAGACGTTGCCAAAGGCAAAGGAGAAACACCAATAAAGTCATCGAGATAATTAAATGTACTAAGTCCGCACTGGTTGAGAATCCGGCGAGACTGCGAGATGTGGAGCGTTGACATGCCATCGCGGCAGAATGGAGACCCATAGTTAAAACTGTGTCAAAATAAAATTGTCTGTTCCAGGTCTAACCAAGTAAATGATAATCGTGAGGGTCGACGAGGAATTGGCGGTACGCTTTGCGGAGATCGCGTTTGTATAGCATGCAACCCCGACCGAGGGAAACAATCCCCGAGACGATAGCATCACTAGTGGGATAAGTCAATTCAGTGAGCTCGCCAAGAAAAGAACCCGACGGAATATCATCATTAACTGATGAGCCACAAGGCCAGCTCAAATCCACTATCACTCTTTGTCCTGAGAGTCACGCTTGGCCACCGTGTTGAGAGGAGAAACTACAAAACTGTCAGGGAAAGGCGGTGCATCGAAAGGTCCTGCTACTCGACCAAGTGAAATCTTGCTACTGAGATAGTCTTGAACAGCGGAAGGAAAATTCAACGCGCCACGGTGGGTACGAAGGTCAAACACTGGAAGTGTCTGGTTAGTGTAACCAAGGGGCCAACCAAATTCCAAAAAGTCACCAATTACACTGTCCTCGTAGTCTTGAAGCAAGGCACGCCATATGGGAATATTCAGTCGAGAAGGAACGGGAATACGAAGGCCTGTGTAATTGAACTGTCCAGAAGAAAAGGACAGCACAATGAACGTCGGCAAAGGAACTCGTGGCAGGACGTGTTGCATAATCAAAAACTGAATGTCTCGATTGTGAAAACTTAATAAACCCATTGTCTTGAGTAGAAAAACTAGAATTGGGGCATGAAAACATTGTCAGGCCAGAAGCTAAATGTCTCCCAGGAGAAAAGTCTTGCAATAAAAAGTCGCGAGTAAAGTGTCTGGAACTACAATCAAAATCTAAAACGGGCACGCCCCCAGCTTCGGTTCCGTGAAGGCTAGAAGATGAAAAACTGTAGTTTTTTGGCGTCACCGGTGAAGCTTTCGCAGCCAGAGCTTTTAAAGGACAATCAGAAGAATTCTCCCGATGTGACTCCTGCTTTCGAAGCCAAGTCCAGCATGCTGCGCAGATATGTTTCAACCATTTGCGTTCTCTGC